TGTTGCAGGGGTAATATCAGAGCTTGATGATGATCAGGCAAACAGTGTGACTTCTGAGGGACCTTCCTCAGTTGTGCAAGACCGTATAATTATTGTTGCCAATCAGCTTCCTATTAAAGTGAAGCGTAGACCGGATAATAAAGGCTGGAGTTTTAGTTGGGATGAAGACTCTTTGTTGTGGCAGCTCAAGGATGGTTTGCCGGAAGATATGGAGGTTTTGTATGTAGGATCTTTGCAGGTGGACGTTGATTCTTCCGAACAAGATGATGTATCACAGCTTTTGTTGGAGAGGTTTAAGTGTGTTCCTGCGTTTTTGCCTAAAGAAATTTTATCTAAATTTTATCATGGTTTTTGCAAGCAGCAATTGTGGCCACTTTTCCATTATATGCTTCCGTTCTCAGCAACTCATGGTGGTCGGTTCGATCGGTCTCTGTGGGAAGCATATGTAGCAGCTAATAAAATATTTTCTCAAAGGGTCATTGAGGTCATAAACCCAGATGATGACTTTGTATGGATTCATGATTACCATTTGATGGTGCTGCCCACCTTTTTGAGGAGAAGGTTTACAAGATTGAGAATGGGCTTTTTTCTTCACAGTCCATTTCCTTCATCAGAAATATATAGGACTTTGCCAGTGAGGGAAGAGATTCTTAAGGCTCTTTTGAATTCAGACCTTATTGGTTTTCACACTTTTGACTATGCTCGACATTTCCTGTCTTGTTGTAGTCGAATGTTGGGTTTGGAATATCAATCAAAGAGGGGTTATATTGGGTTGGAATATTTTGGAAGGACCGTGGGGATAAAGATCATGCCTGTCGGAATTCACATGGGCCAGATGGAGTCAGTGTTAAGGCTGGCTGATAAAGATTGGAGGGTACAGGAGCTCAAGCGACAGTTTGAAGGAAAAGTTGTCTTACTTGGAGTTGATGACATGGACATTTTTAAAGGGGTCAATCTGAAGTTGTTGGCAATGGAACAAATGCTAAGGCAACATCCAAAGTGGCAGGGTAGAGCTGTTTTTGTACAGATTGCAAACCCAGCTAGAGGAGGAGGGAAAGATCTTGAGGAAATACAAGATGAAATTCGGGAATGCTGCAAGAGAATTAATGACTGTTTTGGACAGCAAAATTATGAACCAATTGTGTTCATTGATCGGCCTGTTTCTCTCACTGAGAGAGCTGCATATTATACCATTGCCGAATGTGTTGTAGTTACAGCGGTGAGGGATGGAATGAACCTAACTCCTTATGAATATGTTGTCTGCAGGCAGGGAACCTCTGGATCAGATTATAGCACTGAAACGAATGGACCACAAAAAAGCATGCTAGTCATATCAGAGTTCATGGGATGTTCCCCTTCTCTCAGTGGTGCAATGCGGGTTAATCCATGGAACATTGAAGCTACTGCCGAAGCATTGAATGAGGCAATATCAATGGCTGATGCTGAGAAGCAATTGCGCCATGAAAAGCATTACAAGTATGTGAGTACTCATGATGTGGCATACTGGTCAAAGAGTTTCTTCCAAGATATGGAAAGAACTTGTAAGGATCACTTCAGAAAACGGTGCTGGGGAATTGGGTTGGGCTTTGGATTCAGAGTTGTAGCACTTGATCCTAACTTTAAAAAGTTGTCTATTGATGCCATTGTTGCTGAATATTCAAGGTCTAAAAGGAGGGCTATACTATTGGATTATGATGGCACTGTCATGCCACAAACTTCAATTGATAAGACCCCAAGTAATCAAGTTATTTCAATCATAGATTCACTTTGCGATGATGTTAGGAATACTGTTTTTGTTGTCAGTGGAAGAGGGCGTGAAAGTTTGGGCAACTGGTTTTCTTCTTGCGATAAACTTGGGATTGCTGCAGAGCATGGCTATTTTATGAGGTGGCTCTTTTTTCTCCTTTCCATCTACAACATCCTCCACTAAATCTTGTTCTTCCCATCTGTCTGGCTATGTATTTTCCTTCATTTTTCTGAATGAAAGCACAGTTTCTTACCGAAATAACTTCTGTCTGTCTATCTGTATATCTATATATATCACAATCGTTTGATCCTTGTACTTTATCAGGTGGTCTGCTGATAAGGATTGGGAAAATTGTGGTCAAGGTAGTGATTTTGGCTGGATACAGATCGCAGAGCCAGTCATGAAATTATATACAGAAGCTACTGACGGCTCTTCCATTGAAACCAAAGAAAGTGCCTTGGTGTGGCACCACCAGGATGCCGACCCTGATTTTGGTTGCAGCCAGGCCAAGGAACTGTTGGATCATCTCGAAAGTGTGCTTGCAAATGAACCAGTTGCTGTAAAAAGTGGTCAGTTCATTGTAGAAGTGAAGCCACAGGTATCTTCTTCTACTTTAAACTTCTGAAATAACATCAATTGAGTATTTCATTTTAATTCAAATTGGAAATTGCGTATTGCATTGCCTTGTTGTGTTGTGGTTGTTTTTCTGGTTTTGGTTTAGAACTGGTTGTTGGTCCCGTCTTCTTATGCCTTATCGCCCAATTTTGGACTTTTTTCGATTGTTTTTTTCTTTATTGGGAAGGATTTTGAAGTGGTTACTTGGAACAATTTGAACTGAGGTATTATATCACCTCTCATACGTGTGAACTTTCTTAGAAATGGGGATGCAAATGCAGTAGGCGTGCATATATGTGTGTGTGTGTGTATATATATTTCATCTTTTACTTTCTTAAATTTAAAGATTATCACCGTCTGTATACATAATGAGGCTTATATATTCCACATTACCGAAACTTTAGAATTCTCTCCCCTATTAAGAATTTATGAAAACTGATCCGAAATCTGTTGTAATTTTTAGGGGGTTAGTAAAGGTGTGGTGGCAGAAAAGATTTTCACATCAATGGCCGATGCAGGCAGACGGGCCGATTTTGTGCTATGCATTGGTGATGATAGATCTGATGAAGACATGTTTGAGATCATTGGCAATGCAGTATCAAGTGGCGTCCTCTCTTCCAATACATCAGTTTTTGCGTGCACAGTTGGACAGAAACCAAGCAAGGCCAAGTATTACTTGGATGATACAACTGAGGTCATAAACATGCTTGAAGCCCTTGCAGAAGTTTCTGACATTTCTTCTCCTCCAGAATCCCCTTGAGAATTTTCTCCATGGCACTTAACAGTGGCCTCCATTCTCTTCTCCAGTGATGACACTGACCTTGCCGGCTGGTGATTAGTATCATATTCATTTTCTGCTTTCTGGAAGTTGATTAACTTGCAGCAAAATGAAATGGTTTAATTTAAACCATCAGCGTATGGGATTTGTTTCTGATATATACAAGTGAATGCAAAATATGAAATGGGGAAGAACGTTCATTCTTGGCATTGGGGAGACTCGGATGGAATGGGGATTATATGGACTGACGGACATGGGATGTCTCAGAAACAACAGACAAGAAGATGGCTGTATGATTTGTGAATAATCTTTGAGGCTCAGTCCTTGGTATTTCCACGCGCGTTTGAAGATGGCAGTCCAGAGTGTTGTAAACACTTCCATTCTTTTGATTCATGAGTTTTTGGATGGTGGAATGATCAGAGTTCGAGTAGAAAGTTAGAAACAGAAGCCTGAGCTCGTCTTGTTTGAAAACTCTAGCAAATGTACAACATAATGATATCCTTTTCTTTCATATTTTTTTCTGGGTTAAATTCTTGAGTGCATTTGTTTTCTCATTGTTACTTGAACCATTTTGTTCTTGCTCAACATAAATCTGTAAATCTGCTACATCAAGGCTATCTTGTTTAGACTTGGAACTACGTTTTGTTAATAAGAGAATGTGTCTGGGAACCTGGATTCAAATCCTTTGGTGATTATTCTGGGATGAGCTTATCTATCTTTATGAGGTGTTTGATTTAAGAATTGATATGGTAGATGTGAACATAAGTTTGAATGCGAAGGCAAAGGTCAAACATTGCCCTTCTGTCGTGATTCTGCTACAGCTTCCTCGTACTTCCCCACAAATTAATTTCCAACAGGGCGGCAATGCTTATTCATTTGTTTATTGATAGTGATGGGCACTGTTTTTTTTTTTGTTCCAAAGAATCTGGCATTAAAATTGTACAGCTGATTAAATGCATCTCATATATGCTTGTTTCTGTAGCACTTTCCTGTACTTAGCCCCTCCAGTCCATTAAAACGTGACAATTTGACATCGATAAGATCACTATTTGATGTGTTTTGTTCAATATATAAACATAGATTATGCTATGACAAGTTTAGATGTTCTTGCTTAATATTGCATCTAAAGAATGACTCTTGATGTGACACAAACACTTACTAGATGTTCTCTTTGTTTTAACTTGAAAATGCATGAAGGTAATCCAATCACACCAAAAATGGCGCGCAACAACCAAGTGTTGAAGGGGGTGTGCGGTTGCATATGATGTTGAAGGGTGGGTGCAATGAAGGCTGCTTTGTGAGCTGGATCTTAGTTTTGATGTCGGATTGGGAATAATAAATAATAATAATAATAATAGCATCCAATAGTAGGCGCGGTTTAAAATCGTGAGATTGACGGCTATACGTTACGAGCCAAAGTCGACAATCTCTAGATGTATATATTTATTTATTTGTGCATGTATATGGTGGGGTACCCCATACATTAAGATAAAGTATAAATTAAAAAGAATGGAGGAGATGGGTCATGATTTTTGGGAACACTAAATTGAAAAGAAAAAGAAGAAAAGGAAGATGCCATGATAGTGTTACATCTGAATTATCCTCATTATATATTACATAAAAATATCATTCAATTTCCCAACCATCGTCCATTCCACCTTTACACCACAAATCTTTGTGCCCAAGCTTCATTTTAAATCATGTTTTCCCAATAATATCATAATTCCTACTACCTATATCTATATATATATATATAAATTGTATGGTAGGGAAGGTTCTATTAAGTTTTCTTATTAAACAAGAAATCTCCTAATTTTAAAGTGAATATTAGACAATTTTAATGAAAATTTTATTTTAATATGAATAATAACTCATATATAAATTATAGCATAAGTGTGACTATAATACAGATATTTATACAATTAATTGGAAAAATTGAAAATAGTTTTTACAGTACGCCGATTAATCTCTTCCATCAATTCTGATCTAACGGTCATCGAAGCTTAGCATCTAACGCCTGAGATTTTTCCGAACACTGAATTCCTTCATTCCGGAGTCCCGACGTGCCAGGAATTTAGCGACTCGGCGGCGATAAATAAACTCGACTCTGTACCACCGTCTCTCCAATTTTGAAACCCGGAACAACGGTGAACCGAACTCGAGGCTCCGACCCGGTTCCTACGGCTGAATCGTTCATATCCGCCGGAGAAAACAGTGTCTCTTCGGTAACGCATTGCATGTAAACTTCTGAGAATCTGCTGTTCTTCCTCACTTGGAAGATCGTAACGTCGTTGTGCAGTGAAAATGCTAAACACCGTAGAAGCCAAACGCGCTTCGACATCTCGGCGAAGGCGGCGAAGAACGTCGTGTCGGGGACGCCGCCGGAGTTCATGATTTTCCTCTGGTTCAGATTTCCAAACAGAGAGCACTCCATTTTCGCATGGACGAGTTGGAGGTACTTGGAGCGGGTGAATTTAGCGAATGAGGAGTTAAGGTTTTGAGAAATGAAGATTTTAGGGTTTACTGGTTTGAGCTTCTTGAATTTTTCAAACATTTGGCGGTTTTGCTGCTTGTCGAGGGGAAACGAATCGTTTTGGAATATGAAATTTGGGTCAGTTGTAAAACCCTCGAACATTGTTTTACAGACGAACGATTCAAAAGCGAAGCTCCGATGAGTTGGCTCCGGGAATTTGGTGTCAGGGTCGACGATACATTGAACGGCCGCGTTGAGGTCCCAGCTTGCTGATTCCATTTCGCGGATCATCAATTTCACGAAATTTCTGATGGATCTTAGGGTGTAATGGAGGAATTGAGCAAAATGGGTTGGATTGAGTAGAGAAAACTGAAGATTATCGAACATGGATAAAGAACCACTAGCATTTAGCTTCTTTTCCAACGACTTGTTGAACGAAATTGATTCGTCGAGCTTTTTCTTTAACGCGACAATACCGATATCCTTCTGCTCCGACTCAGCTTGCAGTTTCTTAATGGTAATCTCGTAGGTTTTCATCAAACTTTGCTGTTCCTGAATCTCCGAGAGCATTAATGTCACTTGCGGTGAGAGATCTAATTCTTTCTTTAAGAAGCTCCGTTTCAACTCTGAAATGACCTTCAATTCGTCTACCACCGCCTGGTCTGCAGCTTGAATTGCGTTGCTGTTGTAAGGACTCTGTGCCATTTGAAGCTCGGCGTAAGCAGCTTTGATTGAAGTAACGCTAGCAAAAAGCTTTGCAGCCAGAGCTTCCATGACTGCCTTGTTCCGAGCTTTGACGTCTTCTTCACCTCTGTCAAAGATTTGGGATTTTCCTCCATGGATACTCGACTCATCTTTAAACTTGTTATGTGAAACCAGAACACAGATTCCATTACTTGACGCGATCCGAGTTGCGTTCCTGAGATTGATTACCTTCTGAAAAGTCCTAGCGAATCTCGTTTTGCTCTTCACGGATGAATTGGGTTTGATCGTTGCCATAAAAAAGAAAGGAGAAAAACACACGCACGCGCGAACACTCAGAAAACAGAGTTATATTGAGCTCAAAAGAGGGAGGCTCCAATGGAGAACAGAAATGGAAGATTTGGTGATTGGCGAAGGAAAACAGGGGAAGTAGAGAAAGGGTTAAGCGGGGAAAAGTGATTAAAGGAGCAGAGTTTTCTCAGCAAAAAGCAAAGCGGAGGAAACTTTGACTATATCTTAGATTAAGGCCGGAAATGGAGGTCTGGGTCGAAAAAAGCAGAGATTCAAAGCGCAGGTGGGAATCAAAGAAAAAGAAAAGGAAGCCAAAGCAATGGCCATTGCCATTATATAGCAGCACAGAGCGCAGTGTCAAGAATGTAAGTTTTTTTTTTTTACATTACATCGCTCGCAGTTCTTAATAATACTCTGTGATTTTCCATGGAAATGAAATGATTCTGCTTTAATATGAAGAAAGGGTGCTTCTGAAGCTGAACTTAATAATAGGGTTTAAGAATATTTAGGTGGCGCCATCAGCAGCCTCAGCCTGGAGGCGATATTATTACAAAAATATTTGTGAAGTCTACGCTTGTAAAGTGATGGATGAGCTTTGGGTGTGTAGATCAAACCATGGACCCTACACTAAACCAAATTTTAATCATTGGGATTGCTGAGTTTTCTTCTTCTTCTTCTTCTTCTTCTTCTTTTACTAATCTTCATGCACAAATCTTCCAAGCCTAAACCAAGTGGAAAACTTTGAATTTTCTTTTAGCTTTTCTTGCAGGTGTGTCTATCTCAGTAATTATTACTCACCCTGTCATACACTTGACTTAAGGTTGGGAATATGTTGAGCCAAAAAAGAAAGACATAAGGGATAGGCCCATACTCTGAAGATAGTTTATTTTTGCTTTGTGAAACCACTGGTGCAAAAGGAAAAGATTTGGGAAAAGAAGGAATGAACAAAAGCACTATTCTTGTCACCATCTTCTTTTGGTTCCCTTTGCAACGTCTTTGTTTCCTAAATTTGTCTAAAGAACAATCAAATAGCTAATAGAATGTTCGTTTTATCTCGTCTTCTCTGGAATAATAACAACCATGATTCTTTGGGGGAGGAATTTTGGTTATGTAAAAAGATTCTGGAGCGGAGGTGGAGGAGGAGGAGGAGGAGGGGTAATGAGGAGTCTTCATCAAGAGGGTTGTGTATGGCCTACTGGGTCCTTGCTGCTGCATAATTCCGACACAAATAAGACAAAATTAGTGCAATAAACTCAGCTAACTTTCAATGGCGGACAGAACAATGCAGCTTTTTTTTCTTCTATTTCTATACTCTAATTTCAAGCTTTGATTACTCCTAATCAATAAGTTTAGCAACAACTTTTTCTTTTGTGGCATGCAATGAGATCGGGACCCAACATTTTGGAGTCGGTTATGGCAATAAGCATGCTTCAATCGATCGGTGACATCAATATACATTCACATGCAGATTCAGCAAAGCAGAAAGTTCAAAATGGTGGCTGTTAAACACCAAGCAAGTGTGCTCATCCAGCCTCTCTAATGGAATAAGACTAAAATGACAGCAGGTGTCATGGCCCTTCCTGGAGATGAAAAAAGGATTCATACTTGCACTCAAGACTTGAGAAGACTGGTGGTCACAGAGTGCTGAAGCTTTTGGGGATTGGCAAACCACTCTGGTAGCCCTATCCTTATTCCTATTCCAAGTGCTTCTCTTTGCTTTACTAGTGGGCCTTACGCCTCACCTCAAAAGACTCAATTGTTTGGCTTCACTTCTCACACTACTTGCTCTACTAATTTAGACGACAATAAAGATAATCAAATTCTTTCCACCATTATTTGAACTAGCCTTACATTAAAGCTCTTGGAACCAGCCATTTCAAAATTCAAAGTTGTCTTTTACAGAGCAAGTGTTCTTTTCAGAACACAATAGGACTTGTATCAGACACATTGATTCTTCTCTGCCTTTGATGAGCGGTGGCCGCAGTTTAAAGTTGAGAGTTGTCTGATGGCACTTGCTGTGCAGCACAACAAAGTTGAAAAAACTCAAGAGACCATCAGTGGCTTTTTGAATAAACTTAGGGAAGAGCTGAGTGTTGCAGCTTAAGGAGGAAAAGCAAAGTCTCGTAGATAGTACACAATACATCAATGGGTTACACATATTTTCAGCCAACCGTTGCACATTTTGAAACACTCCCAAAAAGTTGTCAATAATATCCTTCACATGTGGGCAATGGCCCAAAACGCACTCAATTTCCTTAACTATTAAATTTCATCACAATAACAATGGAGGGTACTAAAGTCATATGTTGTGTTTCCACCGAAAACTAAAATCAAAATAAACGGAATTGGCATCATTATCTATTGGTAGTTCAACGAAGAACAACTTTAAATTTGTTCTCTCGGTAACAATGTGAAAGTGATTCCCTTGGCAATAAACTTTAGACACTACAGAATGGAAGACTGCATCAGCTAATAGAACCTTGATGTCAGTTCCCCCAAGTCCCAAAGGATATCTTTACAAGTTAGAAATGAAGAAAAGAAACCTAACCTCAGAAACTATAATTACCTTTGAACAGGGTTAATCAAAAAGTCCCTATGAAATGTCAGTTTCCATCAAGAACCCACCTGCATTTTGGCAGTTAAAAGGTACCCTACCCGGAAATGAAGGAAGTTGTGATGGTTGAAGTTAGGTGTTCTATCCCCACTTCCAAGCCAAGCTACCAGCCATGGTGTAGAAACGTAATTGGATCTCAAGCTCCATAAAGTCAAAAACTGGTCCCAGCTTTAATCAAGCTGGCAACTGAAGCTTCGCCTTGTTTCTCCAGCTGCAAAAGATAGGTTGGAAGCTTAGCACTCGATATGACACAGCAGTTGAAGCAAAACCAAAACAGTACTCCGCTTAGGAGTTTGATTCAATCACCTAATGTAGTAGTAGTAAAAGAAATCAGCATATAAAGCCGTCTGAACTAGGCCAGCAATGCAAGCTACAAGAAATCAAACACAATGTAAGCCATCTACAGGTAACAAGTGACTAAGAGTGTGTGATCGTAAACCAATACCAATCTTACCTATCCACCGACTGAAGTGCGTTTCCATGAAATATCGGTAGATCCAGTTGAGGATGTAGAGTGCACGATAGGCTCTGCAGATTGATTTTAGTTCCAATAAAAAAAAAAACTATATTTACAGAACAAGCTTGAAAGGGTAAACCAAGAAGAAGTTAGGATCTTAGCTAAAATAAAGCTCCTTTTCAAGAAGATCAACCAGAAAGTTCTATACTGTTGGTAGAAAAAATATCATGTACCAACTGCTTGTGGAAGCCTTCCCCATGACAAAAGGTCCGGTAACAATCATAGATTTATAACAAACATATACAAATTTTCTTAAAGAACATATTGGATATGTATGCATGGCTTGCTTAGTCCAATGACATTGAACGTGGAGGGCTTTTCATGAACCAGTCAAAATGAACATATAAATATCTTTGTTGGAATCTACTTAATGAAATATATAAATTTTCAGGGTATCAAGTGATACAAATCCTTGCCATGTGAAACTAAAAACCCATTTATACATGTCATTTAGAAAATTTATTGTTTTGGATATTGGTCATGGCTCTAAAGGATAAAATTACTTCAAATACATACTGCAGAATAGAAAAAGAATGACTGGTCATATTCTTTAAAAACTGATGAGGTTGGCAGAAAAGTAATTCTTCAATAAAGCACCACCACCAATGATAAATGAAATATACGAACCCAAGAAAGAAGATGTAATGGCCTGTTAAATTGTCCACATTCCCACTTCGTTGCAATAAAACTAATTGAGGAAGAATTGCTACAGCCTCCAAGTATATTGAAAACACCCAAAAGACCTGGAGCAAAACAAGTTCAGCAATATCATTTTCTACTGTGTCATATCCTTAAAATTAAGAAAGAAAATAGGAAACACGAAACAAAGAAGGGATCAGAGTAAGACTGGATTATTTCTACAACAATAAAATAACAAAAGACAGCCTTCTTGACGAGTATTGACAAAGTGAAGTGAGCATGTCTTTGAAGGTAACATCACAAGATGTATCTTGTCAATCAACAGGAATGGGGTAATAGGGAGTGACGAGGCTATGTTTACAAAATTTTGTCTCAACACTGATGTTTCTGCAGGACTTCTTCCAATTTGTTAAGAGACGCAGATATTTCATGAGAATTGTTAAGATGCAATCATACTGGGTAACCGATGCATCATGTGACAGCAAATTGCTCAATGGTCTTTTTATCCTGGAGAGTTTCCAGAGTACTAGTTAAGGCTTGCATAAATCAATTTATGAACTTTTACAGTTAAATGAACAAATTATCATGTTGGTTCTAATTTCACATGAACATTGCCTAATGGGGATGAAAGCTGGGAAAGATGAACAGATGAAACTCATCAAGCATCAAACGCGAACTAAAATAATTTATATTAAAATTACCTCACCTCTTGAAACCCAAACTTCTCATTCACTAAAAGTGCGAGAATGAAACTTGCAGCAACAAGAAAATAATGACGAAAAGTGTCAAGATCTTTATCATACGACCGCCTCACGATTGGATGCACCCGCATGCACCAAACAATTGCTAGAGAGCTTGCTATAAAAATCAGCTTCATCACAGTATTATAGATAGATATGAAGTCCGTTAATAGATCCAAATACCGGGTCAGAAAGACAAGGGCATACAACTCCTGAGTCTTGAGTGAAATTCCTTCAAAACATAAATTAACAAATCAATTCCACGTTCATATTCCAATTAAGTAAACGTACTGATGAAGAGAAGTCTAAACCATGAAATTCAAGTATACAAAAATCAACTCAGTAAAGTCACAGTCTTTAACCTAATCGTCTCGAAAACTAAAGAGGGGAAAAAAACCTAATGCTCCAATCATCGGCAATAATAACACCGTCTGGAAGCTGAAGGGACTAAATTTCTGCTTCGAGAAGTCAGTATCATAATCCCATTTCCAATTCATTATAGTATGATCCACCATTGAGAACCAAAAAATAAAAGAATATACCGGAGACCCACACTGGTATTTAAATTTCTTAGTATCATCTTCTCCTCCTTAATGCCAGAATCAAACAGCAGAACACAGGAAAAGAAAAAGGGAAGGTAAATTACCGGAGCATGATTTGGTAGCGTAGATTTTGAGGAGAAGAACTAAAACACTGATCAAGTGGGTCATATCGCCGGCGAACCTGAAGATATTCATGGTTTAAGAGTGAAGAAGACGATGGGTATGCAGATTTCGGGGAAGAAAGAGTGAAGAGGAGAAAACGAAATGAGAGACGATGGGGGAAAGGAGGCGGAGGGAATTTGGGAAGGGGAAGGACTTCGAACGGGAGGGAGAGGAAAAGCGACGTGGCAATTGGAAACGCCCCCACTGCTTCCACGATGTTCTGTGTATTCCCCACCAACAAAAATGACACGTGGCAAAACACTTCATCAGTTTGACCTCAATACTCCACATCATTGTTTCCTGTTGACTTTTTTTATTTCCCATTTTCTTTTTAATACACCATTTTTTAATATCAAAGACTATAAACAAATAATTAAACAAATTAGTAAATGAACTAATGAATTTTCTTGGTATTATTCAATTTAATTTTTAAATACAATTTTATTTCGGACGTGGGGCCAATAAAATAGAAGGGGTATTGTTATTTGGATGTTTTCGGAAAGGGTGTTTTTATTTGGGCCGTAGGGTCCAAATTCCCCATGCCAATAATGGTGGGCTCGATCAATAGAGGTGGGCCAGACTTGCCTTAAAAGCCCATTTGATAATGGGCTGGTATAGCCCATCCAACACCCATGTTCCATTTCATGAGATTAACAGCGGCAAGGCAAACATTAATATATATTAGATAAATATGTTTTAATTGGATTCAAATTCACGTAACTTCATACTCTCAAACATATTAGATAAAATTTATAAAATTGGAAGTTGTATTTACTGTGAAATGAAATATTGACTTTTATTCTTTTTATATAATTCTAACTTTCAAATATAATTTATCTCATTTAATTATTAAATAAATGCACAATGACGGTGTTATTCAATAAATTGTTTATGTTCCTGTGCTGACGTGGCCGAGGTGTCCTTCTTCTTCTTCTTCTTCTCCTCCTCCTCACTTCCCGCTATACACTCTTCTGCTCATGCTCGGTATTCTGCTGAATTTTTCTGTTTCTCTCTGTGAAGCGGAGGTTCCTGTGTGTTTGGACTGGGTTATCACTTTCCTGTGAAAGGGCACTTCGTGAGCTTCATGGGAAGCTTGCTGAGAGATCCGGGCTTTAATTTTCGAAGCGCCAGATTGGATTCTGCTGTTCCCTTCTTCTGATTCAGGTGATTTCTGTTCTTTCCTTTTTGATTTTTTCCATCTTCCTCAACACTTTCTCTCTGCCCTACTCTTTCTGTTTTCTTCATTGTATCTTTTTATCTTCTTTTTCTGTCGTTCTCATTTTGTTCTCTTCCGTTTTGACAGAGACGGCCACCATTTTTTTTAGGGATTTAATGGGTCTACGAATGAGGCTTTGATTCTAGCATTTTTTTTTTTTTTTGTGGAAAGAGGGGTTCCTTTGTGGTTTCCCTTACGTGCTGAAGCTGGGTTGAGCTTGTTGCAGTTTGCATTGGAGTTTTCTTTTGGCTGCTAATTAGGATTCAGTTGGAGTAGCATTTGGTTTGAATGCTACGTTCAACTTGGATCTCCAGTGATAAGCTTCATGATGTACTCGACCCAGGTTTTTTGGGATGGGTGATTGGAAGTGTTGAGGTGATGGATTTTCTTTGTTTCTCATGTTCTAATTGGAGGAAAGTCGACGAGGTTTGGAAGTAAATGTTTGAAATGGGTTGGTTTAAATAGAGTTAGAATTTAACTTACCTACTTTAAAATAGGACCTCTCTTTGCCTAAACTGCGGGGTATTTGGAATTTATATATCGTAATTGCAGAGGTTGGAGCTTTCGTTGTCTGATTCATATGCAATATACTTCGATTCGTTTCCTCAATTGTCAAGAAATTTCCCTACCAAATGCATTTGTATTCTCATCATGACTAGAGCTGTCCGCGATAATACTCTTAAGGAGGCAAATGGTGATATAAGCGATCATCTGCATAACCACATTCACTTGACAAACTGCATTCACTTGAAGAATCACATGCACAAGCACAGCCCCATCTTGGCTGACAGGTCTCTTATGAGGGACCTCATTGTCCTTCAGAGGTCGCGATCTCTCAGGGACCCTTCTGCAAGTCCTCCCTCATGGCAGTCTCCCTCATTAACTGATCTGCCACCGAGGGTGGGTGAAAATAATGCTGTGATTCGTGAAGGAAGAAGGTCAGTAGGAACTGAGAGTCGAAGGGTAGGTAGAACAATGTCAGGAAGTTCTCCACTCTCGGGAAGTTTTGCCACATCAAAAGTCATTCCGGCTGATATGAATGTGGGCACTGATAGTTTCTGAAATGGTTTTCTCAACTGTTGAAGCATGAACTTGCTTATAATAATTCTTCCAGTATAAGATGATAGACTCGTTTCTGGTGATTAAAATTCTGGCTTTAGTTACAATGATATAAATTCTTCAAAAATATAAGAATAACAGTATCCCTTGCAATGCAGTTTGGTTCTTATAATTTCTAGTTCATATAATTTTCTTATCATTTCAATTTATATATATGTTTCTCCATTGGGTTTTCAGGTTGGGCTCATCTCTGACGAAAAATTGGTGGATCTTCTTGATCTAGCTCTATCTGCCGATACTGTAAACACTGTGAAAAACTTGAGGCTGATAATTGAAAGTGGTGTGGAGCCAATGGCATTGATATCACAAATTGCAACTGTAATTACTGATATTCTTGCTGGTAGTTATGATTTCAAAAAAGAAAGACCTCGAAGGAAGTTTTTCCGACGTCAACCATGTAAGCAAAGAACATATCATGTAATTTATGATGACCTCGCTGTGAGTAGAAGTTAAATCAAGGTGGTTCACATGCTTTCCTGCTTATAAATGTGAAGGACCTATATTAATCCATTTCACCTGTAACTAGATTGTTGTCCTGTAAAGTTCATAGCTTTTTTTTTTTTGTTCCTTCGATGCATTATGAACTCTAGTTTTAAGTAGATTAAGATTTTCTTATTCTGATTAATAAGCTCAGAAGACTAACGTTACAAACCAGGCTAACTTAGGTTAGCTAGAAACTAGGAAAAATAAAGAACAAACACTCCACAATCTACCAGCCTAACAACTGATCTTCAACAAATTAAGGAATGCAGATTTCATATGATCCTTAGCTCATTTTGAAAATTTTGCTGAAATGTTCCTTATGTTTCTTTGTCATCTATCACACCGATGATGCTCTTTTTTGTTTTCATTCTAGTATCCAAAGAAGATATGGAAAAGCTACGTCAAGCTCTGAGAACATTGTCTGAAGCTGAGAAGCAATTAAGAATGTCGAATGATAAATTAACCTGGCTTACAGCTGCATTACTTCAACTTGCTCCTGATCAGCAGTATATGTTATCCAGTTCTGCGGAGACTAGCTTTAACCACAGTCCCTTGGCCCTGAATAATGTGAATGGTAGGGGTTTATCAAGGAACGCTCACCAGCTTGCTGAAATACCTCAGAAAGGATTGTCAACAGATTTATATGACAATAGAATGGCCGAAGGCATCAGTTTAGACAAAAAAAGACATTCTGGAGTTGGTGTGGCTCCTCAGCAGACAATTGCAAGCGCTGATGATTTAATCAAGTCTAGTGGAAAGCAGGTTTCTGGTAAAGATATTGAAGAAATTTGGTTGGAGGTGCTAGGAAAAATTCGGAGAAATAGTATTAAAGAATTTTTTATTCAAGAAGGGAAGCTTGCATCAGTGAGTTTTGGTGCAGGTACATTTTGTTGCATCCTTGTTGCACAGTTTCATGCCTCTATAATTTACTTTATTTATTTCAGAACATATATTTTACAAATGTCAAATTGAGCATCAATTCTTAGGATCACATAAAAATTATGCCTGTTATTTTAGCATCTTAGCGAAGTGTTTTGACTATTGCTAATCGACCTTATTTTTTGGCAGCACCAACTGTGCGCTTGATATTCAATTCACATCATGCAAAATCAAAAGCAGAGAAATTGAGAGAGCAAATCTTACAAGCATTTGAGTCTGCTCTTGGGTCATCAGTGATAATTGAATTTAGATGTGAATTGAAAAATCATTCATCAGTTACTCTACCTGCCTCCAAGAATGGTTTGTTACATATTAGGGACATGAGCAGTTGTGAGCCTCAAGCTCAGTTATCACACTACGGTTCCGGTGAAGTTGGAAGAGGTGAAATTGTTGAAATAGATGCTTTACCAAGGGTAGCCCATAATCAAAGAGAATCGAATCATAGGAATTTGGAAGGTTCACAGGGAGAAGTATCAGTCTCACGCAGGAACTCGACCATGCCATCAATTTCAGAAACAAGAGAAGGTGGAGCTCAAAGTCAGAGTCAAAGAATTGTGAGAAGCAAAGTATCTCTGGCACATGTTATTCAGCAGGCAGAAGGATGTTCACAGAGAAATGGACGGTCCAAACACAAAGCTGTATCTATAGCTGAAGAACTTGAGCAGGAAAACTTGTACGTATTGCTACCTCAAAGTTTCATACTTTGGCAGAGGGAGAACAACTCCTATGCATTAAATGTGGTTTGGACACTCAAAACAGTTTTCTATTTTATTGAACAATCACATAATTTTTAATTGTCCTTTGATCACAATCTTCAAAAAAATAAAAAAAATGAAAATGGAAACATACAAGATCTTTCAAACAAAAGTCCTCTTACTCTTCTATCTCATCCTGCAAAAACCCTGTTCATCATGAAGCTTAACATCTTACTGGCCTAACTGTGTAGGCTGAGCCTTTCCTTCGCTGGGCTATTTCTATAAAGCCACATATCTGAATTTATTTCGGAGAATATGGGTTTGAAGTGGTACTAATTAGCAACTTGAGGTAGATTAGGCTGTTAGAGATATTTCACATTTCAGGAAAAAATATGAAAGGTTAACAAAATTTACATAGATTTAAGAGGTTTTTTTTTTTTTTTTTTTTTTTTTTTTTTTAATGAATCTTAGTAAATAAGTTACTCGTAATAATGAAGTTATGCAATTATTCACATATGGGACTTTTAAACTAAACCCAGAGGGGAGGTATTAGCCATTATTATTCACAAAGTTCCTACTGCCCAATCCTATGTACAACAGATATCTATTGATTGCTTAGCATACTCTTGTGTGGCTTATATATTTATATTGAAGCTGAATCAGATGCTTTTTCACTACTCGGGATTGCAAAGGTCATGGGAACTAGTTTCCAGTTGTGGTGGATTTCTCTTAGTGAAACAGAATCTATTTCCTTTTATCTTTTTGTTGTTTCTATACTTTTCGGAAGCTGAGTTTATTAATTGGCATTGATGATAAGGTTCGCCTATGTTTCACAACCAAATGCACCTTCTTAATTTTGTTGGACTTTCAAATTCCTAGAGTTCTTTTCTTCTCTTATTATATTTTTACATTTTGTGCAGGAGACTTGAACCTCAATCAAGAAGCTTATTATGCTGGAAAGCATCTAGAGTTACTCAAAGAAAGGTAGGGTGAGAAAAAGGTTTAAGATAATTTATAAATGGTTTGTTTCAGTTTTAATATCACTATGTCTATTTGAGAAAAATACAGTCTTCAAATTTTTTCTATAAAATAGGCTATTTAACTTTGCAGGGATAGATGTATTTCATTCATTCCCTTAAGTGGAAGGCATCTTATTGAAATTCCTCACTCCTGTTGCATGCTGGTGCAAATATCATAAATCGCAAGAAACCATTTTCATAAATTTTTGTTCACGGTCTGGTGTTTGTTATTTTGAATGTTGATAATATAAGGGAAAACTTTGTATTGGCTGTCATATTTCTAGAGTCATACAGTAGTTTAAATGTTTTCTTGAGGAATAGATAAATAAAGGAAAAGGATATCCACCAGTGGTTGTTCGATAATAGTTGGACGATGAAGGGCATATGCTAGTTTCTTCCAATTTATTATGTCAATACTCTCGAAAATTCTCATGATGTTTGTCATAAATGTCAGCTTCTTTCCTTATGATCTGTTAATAAGTATTTTGAAACTATTCAGATGAGAATGATAAACTACTCAAGTCCAATCCTGAAGCCCCATGGAAAATGTGTATAATGTAGCAAATTATGCTTTAATCTCTCCTTCATTGTGTGATTAGTAATTTTATGGCTAAGCTAGGTTTCGGTTTGATGATAATGAAGCGTGTGTTTTCTCGAAAAAAAATAAAAATAATGAAGCATATTGTTAACTTTATTTACTTGGTCATTGTCAATTTGCTTCCGCCTCGAATAACCCAATATTTTGATGAAATATTAGAAAATTGAGCCAGAGTCACTTTTTCTATTGAGAGGATATAATCATCTGTTCAATGCAGTGGTTCTACTTGTTGTTTATTACTAGGAAAGGGCCATACGTTTTTCCTTTCATGACTGTTATTCCCAGGTTTATGTGTATGAGTTGCAGTGCAAATATGGTACTAATAATAGCAAATGATGCTTCTTTTCTGTAGTTTCAGTTAAAAGTTTACTTATTGATGATTTTCTTTGCAGCTTTCACGGTTAAAAATCAGAAATCGAAGGCCACAGTCATTGCTGAAATTCGTCTCGTGTGGGAAATGTCTCTCTGCTTAGTTGGGCAAGGTAATAATTTCGGCCGGAAAGGAAGAAGGGGGTGAATGGTCTTGGGGGTTGATTAACTTCGTTTTCTCATTTAGTTATATTTAATCTTTTTTTTTTTTTTTTTTTTTTTTTTTTTTTNCATTTAGTTATATTTATTTTTTTTTTTTTTTTTTTTTTTTTTCTTTTCCTTTCTGTCGCACGTTGATTACTAGGCTGATTTTTATCTGTGTATCCATTTTATGAAATCAATTAATTTTTCATGGTAAGAATAGGAGAGGATCATAGAATGCAGTCCTCATGACCTTTTCTCACTCAAATTCAGTTTCCACCTTATAAGATCAGTTCTTTTGAGATATACAATATACTTCGAACTTTACTACCATAATAATTAGTATCTTGAAATCATTTAGCAGAATGACATCGCAATTCACTGGAATTGTATCAATCTGTAGTCCAATGTTAAGGAGTTTCATTTCTAAAATCTTCATCCACTTAAGTAATTGTTATGGGATCATGCGTTTTCACTTCCAATGCAAACACTTATGCAATTAGAAGTCATTGAGGATTGATTTGATAGGTTGCCAACTAACCACAATACTTTCCAAGTCGTCCTGAATTCTTCCTGTATGCATCTAGATGTATTAGCAAAACAATTTGAGTTAGAGATCTAATTGTTGATGTCAATCTCATATTTTCCTTTCTAAATCTGGATCTGGCAGCACTATTCAGGTTAGAAAGCCAATTATTGATGTTCATCTCTCAGATTATCAGCTCTGGAGTGAGCTTTAGTCTGGTGAATTTATGGTAATCAAGTATAAATGATTTCTCTGGTTGATTAGAAGCTATCTTTTCTTGTTCTCATGCCCTCCTCTAACGGTGCAGTGCAGGTTTCATTCACTCCCATCTTCCTCAGGATGTGTGGCAGCTTTCCTACCCATGCCATGAGGAATTGAAAAGGAGCCCAGTTAACCTTATAACATAATGAATATTGAGCATATGTATATACTTTTCCTCCAGGAGTCCATGAATATGATGATGCAAGTAAACGTGGGGAAATTAGTCTTTCTTCTTCCATAGCATTTGCACAGAATACACAAGTAGTTCTAACTTGCTCTTCCTTTTCAGGATGCCAAGCAATTCTATACCCTCAAACAATCACAGTGCATCAGAACTGTTTTTGGTATGTAAACAAAGCTTCTCTGCTGCTACATACACTTACTAACCGTTAAAGTTCTTCGTTGAAGGCTTGAAACATTATTGGCTCCAGGCTGCCGTCAAGTGGGGTGAAATTGAGTGTACAAGAACTGTTTTTCAAAATTTTATGTATAAGAATAGTAATACAGCATTTGTCTGCAAGTTATGCAACAAGTTTATTAGAAAGTGTTATCCAATGGGCTTGAAAAGTCTAACGAATTTGAAATCTAAGAAGAAAACCATTGGTTCTAAAGTACCACTTAGGAACCATACAAGAGGAAGAGTGGACACCACAACTTTCAACCGCCAACATCCAACATTGACTGATACGAAATTGTCTATTAATAGTTCGATTGAAGCCTATCAGGTTTTTGTTTATAACATCATTATTGCTGTTCTTCAATAGCCCACGAAGTGAAGCAACCTGCTCTTTTACGAAAATAGTTTAGTTGAAATATCCTCTTCAACTGCAGGGACGATCATTCACTAAATCCACTTTCTGGAGAGCTATTTCTTGCCATAATCTGCAAAAAGATCACAGCACTTGTTGAGTGAAGCTGAAAAGCAATGGTCAAATTGTCACATCGTCTATGTATGACTCTGAGGCTACGTAGGTCGTTGGACTATTTCAACAACTGCATGCCCATTATATTGTCGACTCAACGAAACTGATACCTTCCACCGACTGATAAAGATTCATTCATGCGGAAGTCCCCACAAGGGTTTGTCTTCATCATCTTCATACTGAATATGATCATATATTTGGTTTCCTGTCTCGCTTATTCTTTATTATGAACTGTGATTTTACATGTACTTTTAAACTAACCTTTACCGACTACTAATTATAGGCCTAGAAAACATTCTTTCCTGTAGATCAAAACCAAATCGACTTTAATGCTTGATAGGAGTAACCTCAGAGTGCAATGGAGCAACCTACTTTGGCGAAAGCCACTCTTCATTTTAAGCCCAGAAAAGATCCATAATCTCCATGGGAAAATTTACAGCCCTCCGGCTCAAGCCAGTTAACTTACTGGATTACTTGTATTCCGCTTTAGACTAAAGGCAAAAGTCGGAACATCTATAAGTGATGGAAAAAAACAATAAAGCAGAAAGACAGAAAACCCAATAAAATTCCATCACCAAAGTTTGACAAGGATTTCCCAGAAACAGTTCAATCCAAAACTAGAACTAAGGGCTCTCCTAGTTGATATATGGCGTTAAATGTAGAAAAGAAACCCCTTTTTTCCCCATGTCTGCCTACTCAACAGGTGTTTGTGATAATGACACAGCCAACTGCCAATTCTTATACCTTCTGTGGGTTGGAGCCTATATGCACTAGGCGAGATGAAAATTAAAGAAATGGGTTCCTTTTCTTTTTCTGTTTTCCTGTTTTTTTTTTTTTTTTTTTTTTTTTCAAAGTTTCCTTTTAATTCCTTGTTAGATTGAAAACTGTCCACAAAAGTGATAAAAAGTGGGCAAGTGGTCACAGGATTTATGGCGGGCCTTTCTTTTGAAAAAACAGCAAAAAGACCAATATGAAACCCACGTTCCTACTTAACAGCTTAACTGTCTCAATAACTGCTACTGCCACCATCTTCCCTCTACCATTATCTTCCATGAGTCACTTTCTTCTTTCGTGTTCCATTGCCCAAGTATATTTCTAACGCGAGTAACCTTTTTCTTTTTGTTCCAACACAACAGCAACCAATCTTTCTCTGCTGAAATTATGAAATGGGGTAGGAGAAAACCGCACAATCCTTCTTCTTCTTCTTCAACTGCTTCTTCTTCTTCCTCTAGGCCTTCTTTTATGTCTAATATCTTACCTGCTTCTTGGTTCTCAAAGCTTAAGCAAAAGAAAAGCAACCAAGAGGCCAAACCCAAACAAGTAAAGGGAACAGAGAGGAGGAATTCTCCTTGCATTCAATCGCCTGATTATGCAAATGAGACCCCCTCCCCCGATCAAGTAAATGGGAATCGCAGTCGATTGCGTAGTGGAGATAGTGGTGAGTTTTGGAAGCTGCCCTTTGGAGAAGATGGTTTTGATTCCAAAAAGAGTGGAGGGGTTCTGAGATCGGTATGGTACAACTCTGAGGATGAGCACGAGCTTCCACATACAAGTTGTAGAAGCTGCAGATCAAAATGTACAGAGTTTGAGGGAAAGGAAGAGATCCAGAATTTTGGGGACATGGTTTCAAGGATGACACGGAGAAGGAGAAGGAGGAGAGAAACTCCAACCCCAGTGAAACTTTTGAGAAGAGAGTGTGAAATTGAATCAGGAACTCCGAGGGGCAAATGCAGAGACAATGGGAACTTCAAGAATTTGGATAAAAAAGTGGTGGAGAAGAAGGGATTTCAACCAGAGAGGGAGACAGTTAAAGCAAAGGAGAGAGCAAGAAGATCAGTAGGAAAGAAAATGTTGGAGCCGGAAGAAGAGTCTGGAATTAGGAAGAATGGGAGAGATAAAGCCAAATCGACAAGTACAAGGAAGCAAATATATATCTCTTCCACCATGCCAAGAAGTTCCAATTTAGGAACTATAGGAGAAAACTGTGTGTTTTCTTCCATGAAGGCAGAGGAAAGGGATGAACTTCACACAATGGGCATTGAAACTGATTCAGACTGGGAAAGGATGAAAGAATTGAAGATTGAAGAATTGAAGTCAAGATATGAGAGGCAAAGACAACCAATCTACACAAGGAAGGACTCAAACGAGAAGAATCCAAAAGGCAGAAGAAAAATCAGAGTTTACTCTCCAAGAACAGCCACTAGAATTGAGATGTGCAAGATCAAAGCATTGGAGGATATGAAGAAAGCCAAGTTAAAGATGAAGAGTAAGGTAAGAGAGAATACAATGGACAAAGAGACCGACTTAGAGAGCTTTGCAGTCGTGAAATCATCGTTCCATCCACAGCAAGACTTCAGAGACTCAATGGTTGAGATGATCATGGAGAGAAGGATCAGTAAAGCAGAAGATCTTGAAGAACTGTTGGCTTGTTATCTCACATTGAATTCCGATCAATACCACGATCTCATCATCAAGGTGTTTAGGCAAGTTTGGTACGAATTGAATCAGGCATCTTTAGAATCTGAGTTAAATAAGCAATTCCCATGTAATGAACAGCTTCTTTAGCTAATAAATTTCAGACAAATGTAGTAATCTTATCTGTTGAAAACAAACGTCTTGGTTCATAAACATGGCAAGGAAATGCAATGTTGAATTACTGTTTTCCTCTTACAATTCACAAAACTGAGTTTCTTCGTTTTCCACTTTCTTGAGAAGCAAGCATATGAGATTTTGAAATGGAAGAATAGAAAGGTGTTCTAAACCCATTATAGAAACTGCCATATGGGGTCCAAAAGGGAACAGGTAATCTGTGGGTAAACAGTGTGCAATACTGAAAAGCAGGCAATGATGAATGAATTGAGGACATGGACATGGGTAGGGAGTTGCCAAAAGGTTAAAAGATTGGTGGCAGAGAGAGTAATAGGACGATAAACTGAAGCAAATGGAAGCATGGTAACAAATAATGCCCATCAAACTCGAGTAAAAGCTTCAACATTGGTGCCAATAATTCTCATAAATAAACCACTTTGTTGGGAAAATAAACACAATAATTAATGGTGTATTGCTGCGGCGGATGTGGCTGTTTGAGTTGCTTACTGCCTCCCCCTCTGCGCTCCTATTGCGGACAAAAAAAATAGGTAAGCTGATGAAATCGATTTCCCTGGGGACCATATTCACTTTCATTTTGTCATTACCATATTTAGATCATACATCGATTGGAGAGTAGAATAAAACATTTTTTATAAATGTATGAAAACCTCTTCCTATAGATGTGTTTTAAAACCATGAGATAACGGCGATACGTAACGGGTCAAAGTGGACAATATCTACTAGCGGTGGACTTGGACTGTTACAAATGGTATCAGAGCCAGACACCGAGCAGTGTACCAGTGAGGACACTGGGCCACGAGGGATAGATTGAGATCTCACATCAGTTATAAGGGTGTAAAAACTTCTTTCTAGTAGACGTGTTTTAAAAATGTAAGGTTAACGACAATACGTAACGAGTCAAAGCAGACAATATCTAGTAGCGGTGAGCTTACGTATCATGAAAAAAAGATCACCCTCCCGTTAGAAAGAAAAAATTTGCAAGGGAACGCTGAATATTTTTCACTACAGATTATGATACAGAGCAGAACCATTTCTTTTCAAGTACATCAGCAAACTTTGTTCTTCTTTTCTCAAAATATGTATGAGCAAACTGAGTTCAGTAGAAGCCGAGATTAACACAAGAGTCATGACCTGACAGAAAAAACAGATGCAAAAAAACAAACAAATTTAAATAGGTAAAAGTAGCTTCCCTCTTCCATTACCTATGGTTCCACTAGAGGTTAAGCACTCGAACCCAGTATCACCATTATCACAAATGATCCCATAGCATGCATCATTAACCAATTCAACTACTTTTGATTCTACTCAAAGCTCCTCTGAGTTCAAGATAGAACAACAGCTCCTACATGAAGGGATTCATTCGGAATAGCAGATGCATAGCTGTTGCACTAACTCAGTTTCACTCGCACTCAAAATTACCTACAGTCAGGTATCATGCCATTAATTACTATACTAATGCACACCTTATTTTTCCGGCCACCGTGATTCTGTAAATATCAGCAATCATGATGTTTCCTTGGCCAAGTCTCCCAGTTATTTGGCAGTCACAGTATTTTAACATGGAGATTTGAAGACCACGCCTGCTGAATGTCAAGGATAAGTAAACCTGAAATTGAAACCACATTAGATTGCATCAGAATCTGTCACCACAGCTTATATAAGTTAAACTACATCAAAAACATCCATCATGAAAATTTAGAAGGAGAAGGTTCGTATAGGGATAAGACAAAACCTATATAAAAGTGATAAATCCACAATAAGAACCTCCAAAAATTATATCCTTTCAGTTTCAGCACCAATTTGAAACAGCATAACGTAGAATGAAAATAAAGTTGTGAAGGCAACTCTTGTTACGGAAGACCTTGGAATATTGAGTTTCCAGCATTATCCGGTTGGCTATCAAAGGCAGCAACTCCAACTTTAACACTCAAGTATCAAGCTTTACATTGATATACGAAGAAACATAAACAAATTTTACTAGCAGTTGAATAGAAAGAGAGATGCAGACCAAAATATCACACGACCATGGCCCTCTCAATACAACATAAGAACCTCATATCTTAGCATGGTAAGATGTAAGGAACCTAGCATTATGAATGCATGCCTAGATGAATCCAACAAGAAATAGCTTGATCATCACCAAAAGAAAATGACAAGAAGCTATTGCAATGAACAAAGATGAGGAAAAGAAAATTGTGAGTAGGTTTTTAGTACTAAAACTTGAAAGTTGGACACGGAGCTTCCACAATTACATTTCTTTCGTTCATCTATCTGATGCATCATGTCTGTTCTATTGTAGATCATATAACCTCACATTGAGGATAAGTCAAGGAGAATGAATTAGACATAAGCTGATGTATAGTTGGCTACTATTCACAATCAAATGGTGGAAAGAAAGGACCTTTATGAACCAGAAATCCCTACAATCATGCTTTTATAGGAAAATGGAAGAAACTAATCTCTTTACAGCTGCACAATCTATCGATTTCATTTGTACCTAAATTTATTACACATGGGCAGGGCAACAAGGGCATCATCACTTAAAAAAGATCAAATAATGTCACGTTTTCTCAGTTGGAGTAAGATGTTCCATCTGTTCTGCGAGGTTATTTATCTTGTTCCCAGTCCACCAAAGTTTTCCAAAGCTTATAGATTTATTCGCATTCTTTTTACTATTATCAGAATCCTTGCCTTCTGGTGCAACTTTTGGAGGATCAGATGAACCAGGATTCTCAGTCAAAAACTGTTCCCAAAACACATCATTGGCCCCATTACGCACAATCGCAGTGGTTTCATCAGCATCTTTTCTTGACACAATGGGATCAGAAGCAATACTTCCAACAGGCTCTGAATTCATGTCTATAACATGTGACTCGGACTGATAATTCCTATTTAGTTGTACAGAAGAAATATGTGGGCTTTGAATGTCACTTTTCGTTTGGTTGGACTTCAGATTGGGTAGAATGATGGTTTGATCAACATCGTGAATGGTCCTCTCCCAAAATGTTAGGGATGATTCTAACTGGTCGAGCTGCTCCATGTTTAGATCCGAGGTAGAAGAGTAATCCATATGCTTCTTTGACACTGAATGGGCATGCTCTGCCGGATCATCCTCAGCACTGGATTCATTGTAATAGTAGGCGACTGTAGCCAACCTCCTCTTTCTCTCATGAGATTGTGATTCTGGCACAAAATAAATCGTTAATTCTGGTTTCTGCAAAGCATGCGCAACAATAGAAAGCAACATTTGTTGCTGTTGCTGAATACATTGAAACCGATCCTTCATCAATTGCATTTGCAACTGTAATTCACGATTTTCTTGTTCGTGTTTCTGCGACTCAAGAAGAAGCTTTTCGTTAGTGTGCTTAAGCCTCTCAACCTCTTCCTCAAATCTCTTCCTTTCAAGATCCAACAATGGAGATGAAAGTCCTTGTCCTTGAACATTCTGCAAAGAATGGCTATGAACTGGTTTTCGCCTGTGAATGTTCCGCAAAAGGTCTGGCCGACCTTTTTCAAAATCCTCATTTGCAAATTCCCATCTCTCTGGATCCACTTTCTTAAAACCCTATTGAAATAAATAACTAATTCAATCAAAGAAACCTGAAAAGAGTGATTATCAGTAAAATGAACTGGGACACAGCCTGACTTAAGTACTGACTTACATATGTATTAAGCTGTCTAATGAAGCTTGAGAAGTTGTTATGCTTGAAGAATTTCGGCAGCAGGTCCGTCGAAAACTCCAGTGGTTGCCACACAATAAAGCTCTTATTACCCGGAGTCCAAGATACAACTGAGTCCGTGGAAGGATCATCGACCATCTCGTAAGTCTTTGTCAGGAAAGGAGGCAACGAATTGGAACTGCCCTGAGCTTCGTCCATCATCCCGAATCTTAAGACCCCCAATCGCAAACCATAAAGTACCAAATTCAAATCCCCAGAATGAATCCACTTTGGGGCAACACGAAATTGAACAAAGATTCAGAATCAAAAAGCTCAATCCTCCGCCGCAGGCTTCACGGAGTTTATTTAACCTAAAGAAACTGTTACATCCTCCGAAAAGAAAAACCTCGATAGGGTTTACCGAATTGGAATGACATCGATGTTTGTCGCAAGAATTGAAGGCTAAGAAACCCTAACAAGAAAAACCCTTGATTCTCCCGCAAGGTTTCCAAATTTCAACCAAACAGAAACTTCCAGGAAAGATAACCTCCCTGCGATCAAGTCCAGCAGAAAATTGAGGGACGACTAAGCCAAATAATTGGGGAACATAAAAATGAAAGACCCACCAGATTCAGTTTTCTTAATCTTTGCGTAGTCGTTACAAAAAGAAGTCGTCAGCTGAAGAAAAAGAAAAAGAGGATTACCAAATGCGCGCTTCCACTTCCCGTCGCCAATATCGATCAGCACCTAAATTAACAGACAAATTAGCAGTCCTCCATGTATGAATATAACCCAACTATGTTGTCGGAAAAGGCAAATTCCTTTCATTTTTATTATTATTTTTTTTTATATATATATAATTCGAATGTATAATAGCTTAATAATCAAAATTTTAAAAAGGAAATAAAAATTTGTTGTCCTTTCTTTGAATAAAAATCACTTTTAGGTTAAGCTATCCTTTACCTTTTTTAATTTCATTTCATTTATAGGTTTCTAATTTTGTAATAATTAGGTATTAACCTAAAAAAAATTACTAAAATTTATTTATAAATTGTAAAACTAAACTATTAAACATATTTGAAAAAGTGTGTAAACCATATTATTATATTTGGACTAAATTGTTATTTAAAAATTAAAGGACCAAAATCGTTTTTGAATATTTAATTTATAAATTTCAAATGATTTTGTAAATAAAGAAAAGGAAAAGGAAGGGGCAGCGGATATTGCGAAGAAGTTGAAACTTTAACGGCCGTTTGATGATTGCGTGGTAACTCGCATTTCTTTTTTAGACTATGAATTTAATATTCCCCTTTCACATTTATATTTCAACTTTCTCCCCATTTTAAATTTAACCCATTCAAAGTTTTTTTAATTATTTGTTTCTTCTTTTAAACAAATATTTATTTATCTCTCGATCACTTTCTATTATTATATGTCTACCAACTTTCGTCTTGGTTCATCTACGAACTATAAGATCATATCTAGAATTTGATTAATAATATATATTTTTCATTTAGTTTACCAGGATTGAAATTAATTATCAATTAAGAATAAGAAAAGGAGGTAATAATAAAATTGAAGACGCCTCTAATTTCGAATTGAACAATAGCCATTGTTCAACAACTACAAGTAATAATCATTTCAATCAACAAACCAAACAAACTTCTTACTCAGAATTCGAATTTTCAAATTTGTTCTCTACTCAAATAGTACTTCACAGCATCCCTCATATCATCATAACAATCACAAACCTCAAAAAACTTTACCAATTTCCCAAGCTCCTTGTCCGCCGGATCGTCAATGAACGACGCAATCGGAATCGCATTTTCCGGCTGAAAAGCGTAAGCATTTGGATTATCATCTACAATCACGACTCTTCTCAAATCCCGCCCAATCTCAGACAAATCCTTCACGTATTTCCCCTCCACCTCCTTGCAAGAATCGCGATACAATCTGTGCGAAATCAACGATTTCTTGTCCAAATGATTCACCACAAGCGACGCGTATTCCTTCAATCCGGCGGTAAAAACTACGATTTCGAATCTATCGGCTAGGGCTTCAAGAAATTGGTCGACGCCGGGACGTTTGAGGACGTAGAAGTTGAGTATTTCGCCGTCGATCCTCGGTCTGACCACGAAATCGAATCTCTCCGGTAGCGGATCGAGTTTGGAATGAACCAGAGTCTCGTCGAGGTCGAGTAGAACCGTCCGCTTGGCCGGCGAGATGAGAGGTGGAAGGAGGCGGTACTCGAAGACTAGGGTTCGTACAATGTCGGGTTCGGTGGATGCAGTTTTCCTCAAGGCCTTGTAGCCTTTGTGGCGGTTGGGAGTGCTGATACGGGCCAACTTGGAGAAGATTTTGAGAAGACGGCGGTGGCATGTGTAGAGAGAGCGGTGGACGGTGGCGACGGCATTCTTGATGGGGGACTTGCGGCGGCGGCGGTGTAAGGTCTTGGAGGGAGATCTTTTGATGATCTTGGATATCATTGTTGCTGAAAGTAGGTTGTTGGAGGAGGAGAGTGGGGGGTAAAATGGATTATGAAATGGAATCAAATTGAAAAATGAGCGTTAGGTTCGGTCTAACGGTCGACTGGTTAGGTTCGGAACCGTAGCTAGAAAAGAACCGAATAAACGAAAGTAGACAGGAGACCGCATTTCCTTTTTCTTTTTTTGTTTTAATTTTAAAATGGTTTTTTTTTTTTCTTTTGTCCCTTAAACAAAAATTATGACCGTTTCTGCCAAACTAGCTTAATTACCATACAACCAAATCATTTTTAATAATTTTCATAAGACATATTTGATGGTGATAGCCATTACGATGGGACCATGAAACATGTCAAGCTTACCTCATAGACTAAGTTACAGAATCTATAACTTACAACTTGATATCAGCTAAACCCCAATAGCCGGGGTTTAGCTGTGGGCCACCCCAACTGAACATAACATCCAAAGTGACCCATTGAGAGTTGAAAACACAAAAAGGAATTGGAAAGTAATTATACCAAGTTTTGTGTCCGGAACTGCGGTGGGAAATATGGTGAATTCATATCTCTCTCTGTAAATCCGGCGGGTAGTTGAAGCAGCCTTCAATTCTCATCTTCTTACATCACCATTTTCAACGATGTCTCCAATGTCAAACTGATTGCAATGTCATATTAAAGTACCCATTACACAACAAACGTAAATTGGTCAATTCTCTCTCTCGTTTCCCATTTCAGCCTTTTGGGGTTCTATAAATTCCATCTCATCATCGCCAAGCAATCTCAACAATCTTCCCTCTTTGTCACCCACGTCTCTGTTCCCTTCTTCCTGCAATCAATCATGGCTGAGATTTCAGGACCCAGCAACGGACACCACAGTGTTCCTCTCAACATCAAAGATGAACCCACACCCCTCACTGCCACAGAACCACTCGACTGTATCTCTGTTCCTTTCATTCAAAAGGTCTTCCCTTTCTCTCCAAATCTTCAATTCATATTCTGTTTATGATTGAATGGCTGATTTTTGTGTTTCGGGTGTTGAAATAGTTGATTGCGGAAGTTTTAGGGACATATTTCTTGATATTTGCGGGTGGAGCATCAGTGGTTGTGAATTTGAGCAAAGACAAAGTCGTCACTTTCCCAGGGATTTCAATTGTTTGGGGTTTGGTTGTAATGGTGATGGTCTATTCTGTCGGCCACATCTCTGGTGCTCATTTTAACCCTGCTGTCACCATAGCCTTCGCCACCACCAAGAGATTTCCATGGAAACAGGTCACCCAACCGCTCTGCCAATATCCATTTTTTTTGCTTTTCTTCCTTGAACACGCCATAGTTTGGTAAAATTGTTAAACCCCACGATTCAAATAATCTGAAAACAAGAAAAGTCAAAGGCTTTGTCATTTTTGGTGAGAATTCCAAGCTTTTTAGGTTGGGAGATTCTTGAAAATTCTCACTAATTATTGATTTTCTTCAAGTAATTCAAAGAGGGTGTGCTGATTTGATTCTGATTCCAAAGCAATTAAAAATTGTTGCAGGTGCCAGCTTATGTGATAGCTCAAATTCTTGGATCAACATTGGCAAGTGGGACACTTCGGCTAATCTTTAATGGAGAAGAAGACCACTTTTCAGGGACTCTCCCAAGTGACTCATATGTGCAGACCTTTGTCATTGAATTCATCATCACATTTTACCTGATGTTTGTGGTCTCTGGCGTTGCCACTGACAATAGAGCCGTTAGTTCATCTTCTTCTTCATGATTTACTCTAATTCCTACCTCTAAATTGCACTTGAATTTGGTTCGCTCAACGCGTCTCTGTTTGTTGGCTGATTTTATAGATTGGTGAACTTGCTGGACTTGCCGTCGGCGCCACAGTGCTTCTCAATGTCATGTTTGCAGGGTATTAAATTTCAACATCTTCAAAGAATTTTCATACTAGAACATTAAACTATAAGAAACCCATTTGGGGATATCATCAAGCGACCTTTAAGCTTGAAAATTTCAACATCTTTGTTTTTCAGGCCAATTACAGGAGCGTCCATGAACCCAGCCAGAAGCTTGGGGCCTGCAATAGTGTCAAGGCAGTTCAAAGGGTTGTGGATATACATCGTGGCTCCCATTTTGGGGGCAATTTCAGGTGCTTTGGTCTACAACACCATCAGGTTCACAGACAAACCTTTACGAGAGATCACCAAAAGTGCTTCTTTCCTCAGAGGACAAAGTCGTAGTGGCTCGCATTGAGGAGCTCTTACTTTTCTCACTTCTACAAAATGGAAGACTTCTGTAGGCTAACAAAAGGGTTCTCTTTTTAGTGTTCATTGTATTTCAAAGTTTATGCAGATGGATTAGAGCGCAGGGAGAAAGTTGAATGTTTTGTTTTTGTTTTACATTATCCAAAGACATGGAAATCAGACAACTTTTTCAATGAGCTAAACTAAGAATCCCACATATGGATAAGGATAAGGTCAAACTTTGATGGCTGCCGGGAAGTTCACATGAATCCTGTTTGTCAATTCACAAGTTTCTTGAAAGGGGAGTACCTATGTTTCTTAATCGATACGTCAAACTCTTTTTCATGCTCACACCTAGTAAGGCGAAGAATAGGTTCTACGTTTGTGTTTCATGGATATGTGAATTTCTTTTTTTTTTTTTTTTTGTAACCAATATTATTTTATGTGAGATTCTAGGTCGGTTGAGATGAGAATTAGGTATTCTTTATAACCGTGTGAAAACCTCACATTTTAAAAACCTTGAGGGAAAACCTGAAATAGAAAGTTCAGAAAGCACAATATCTGTTAACTTAGGTTTGGGCGGAACCAAATAGTGTCAGAGCCAGACATCGGGCGGTGTGCCAATGAGGACGTTGGGCCTTGAAGAAAGGGGTGAATTGTGAGTGGATTGTGAGATCTTACGTCAGTCTGAAGGAGAACGAAATATTTCTTATTAGGGGTGGAACTCTTTTTCACTAGCAGACACGTTTTAAAAACTTGGGCCCCAAATGAGATAAATTGTCAATGGATTGTGAGATCTCATATCTGATGAAGACGAAAACGGAACATGTTTTTATAAGGGTGCGGAAATGAAAGAATGTCTGCTACCTAACTTTATCTCTACCTTTGAATTTCATCAATCAGTATTAAACCTATATTAAACATATGTATACAGAGATATTGGTGCTAGGTCGATGGAGACGATCATTCTCTGCTATTTTAAGGATAAAACGTTTTAACCTTTTGAGTATATCTATGGATGAAGTTTGAGGTTTTAAACAGAGAATGCCAGACTGTTCATTCTTTTTTCTTCAATCCAGCATCGTTTCTTTCCAAACCCAGCTGTTAGAACACATTTCAACATCTTAAAAACAGGATCTTATGGTTTTATCCAGTTTTAAAACATTTGCTATAAAAACAGCATTCTTCTTCAAACCAATCAATCCAATTTCAAAGCTTCAACCAAATCACTCATGGCAGAGAGTTCAGCTTCCAACAATGAACGCCACAGTCATTCTATGAGTGTCGAAGATGATTCGGCATCCGATTGTGTCTCTGTACTTTTCATTCAGAAGGTCTCTGGCTCTCTCTGTTTTTGTCTGAAAAAACCCATTTTCAAGCTTTGGGATTTGATATAGAATGGTTGATTTGTTTTGTTTTGGTGGAAACAGTTGATTGCAGAGGTTATGGGGACATATTTCGTGATATTTGCAGGCGAAGCATCAGTGGTGGTGAATTTGAGCAAAGATGGAGTCATCACTTTCCCAGGGATTTCAATTGTTTGGGGTTTGGTTGTAATGGTGATGATCTATTCCGTTGGCCACATTTCCGGTGCTCATTTTAACCCTGCTGTCACCATATCATTTGCCATTACCAGAAGATTTCCATGGAGTGAGGTAGTCTACCTCTCTCTCTGCAGCTCATTAAGCTTTTTCAGTGCTGCTTATTCGATTCTGATGGCAACCCAATTCAAATTTGCTGCAGGTGCCTTCATATCTGGCGGCTCAAGTTCTTGGATCAACATTAGCAAGTTGGACACTTTGGCTAATTTTTAATGGAAAACAAGACCACTTTCCAGGAACTCTCCCAAGCGACTCATACATGCAGACCTTTGTCATTGAATTCATAATCACATTCTACCTCATGTTTGTGGTTTCTGGTGTTGCCACTGACAATAGAGCCGTTAGTTCCTATTTTTCTCCTCAAACTTTCTATGTTGAACTGAGTCGAAAGGAATCTAACCTCACTTTATCTTACAGATTGGTGAACTTGCTGGACTCGCTGTTGGTGCTACCGTGCTTCTGAACGTGATGGTTGCAGGGTATTAAGCTGAATGTTGATGTTATTTTAAGTAAAAAGCTTTATGAATACTTGACGAATCTAGTATCCCATTTTGTTCAGGCCAATAACAGGAGCATCCATGAATCCAGCCAGAAGCTTGGGGCCTGCATTAGTGTTTGCACAATTCAAGGGATTATGGATTTACATGACAGCGCCTATTCTAGGAGCAATATCAGGTGCGTTAGTGTATAATACCATCAGGTTCACAGACAAACCTCTACGAGAGATTGCTCGAAGTGCATCGTTCCTCAAAAGTCGTCATGTCACCCCATGAAAACTTTTGAGACACCAAAGGGGTTATATCGAAAGGACTCTTTTTTTTTTCTTTCTTGTACTTTAAACTTTACTATAGATGAGCTTCCAGTTACCAAGCATTTCTACTTCTGTATTATCAAAAGATATGGAAATGAACAAGTATTTGATGTCACATGAACTAGATTCGCGTTGGAACACGAACCAAACTAAGAATCCCACATCTAAATTAGAAAAAGTTCAAACTATGATGGTTGCGCAGAAGTTCACATGAACTCTTGTCATCAATGCACACGTTACACAGCTTCAAGTTCTGATGATGACAAATAAAAGTTCGAGGTTTTGAATCCTGCACATGAACGTTCTTTTCGCCCCAATTGTGTAGCCCTGGTGAGATCATACACACAATGAAAACCCGGTTAACAGTGCATAGAACTTCAGTCTAATGTAGGTTACCACAAGAAATTGCCCTTTGAGTTGTTCGAGCCGAGTTGAAATGGCTTCTAGAACTGTATAGTCATAAATATGATCTGCTCTCTTATCATCATCCCCATTGACTTCAAATTCAAACCAAGAACATAGAAGTCAACGAAAAAAACTAATAAATAAAAGAATTGGTCATACTAAATATGTAGCATTCGGTATTGGAGCAACCAATGATATTGGAATTGATGGGTTTTATATATCAGCAACAAAATTCTTATTGATTGAACACTTCGACTAGATATCCAGGGGGGGCTGTTCTTATCTAACCTCATGCCTAGATGTCGTTCCTCGTGGAGCTTACATTAGCAGATTCATCCCTTCTCCTCATCCTCATTCTAGGAAGGATTATCGGTCGACAACAGACCAGCATAAAAAGCAACTGCATCATAAACGATGTCATGCTAATCCAGACATAGAGAGTCTTCCTCCAATACCATATAATCCTTTTAAACAAGGGGAGTTCGGATTCAAGGATTAAGGATGCATCATATATTTCGGGTATACCAGCACCAGGACTGAACTCTGCTCGTTGTTCAATTGTAACCCGCAGACAGGCTGTCGGTACATTTCCTTCGGCGAGACCTTTAAGCTTAAGATTCAGAGTCTGGGACTCTGATATATAGCCCGTAACAAGGGGTGCAAGCTTCAGGATAGTCAGTAAAAGGCGAATGGGCTCGCTTTTAAACTGCAACATGCATGGGTGGCTTGAGCTTGCAAGAACGTCACCACTTACAGAAAGAAAGTCTACTCTTACCTGCAGCATGACCATCAAATATCTCACAAGGAATCACATAATAAACATTACCCAAACATACTTAATAGAGAGTATACACATCCATTGATGATGCTGATAACTAAAATAGAATTTTCAGGCAAATCAAAACCAAACAATTACTGAATTTAATAATATGTCTGATCTAAGCAAGATTCTAAAAGACCTCGTCCATCCACCTTCATCACGTTCGCACATAGTTGGCAAACTCTTTGACGTTCCCCAGGGATTTTTTCATTAATATTTGGTTGTGTTTTAGACAACTGAAACCATTACTATATTAGCTTTATTTGTATTGCAGGGTGTCCACAGTGTTGAACTTATTTTACCGTGGCCTTTTCTTGTTTACTTTTATTCATAATTCATGGAACAATTATGCACAAAAGAACCAATGCATACGATTAAACAACATAGATGTATAAATCAAGTTCTTAGCAGCTCCTATTTCTCGAATACTATGCTACTATTCCCACATCATCCTCTATCCAACCAAATTAATCATTGAAGCCTTGGACAAAACAATCGATTCTCATCTCAGAGGCACACTTTCATAGTGGTTTCTACTGCAAATTCCATCGCTCAGTGGTTAAGGTAGGGTAAAAAGGAATTGGATTATGATTCCCAATCTTATCCATTGGAGCAATGTTTAAGATAATATCAAGTCGACTTCAATGAAGATCGACACTTAACATACCAAAAAAAAAAAAGTATCTGAAAATTACGTTACTTGTCATAATTAGAAAAGGCATACTCCTTTAACAAAATGCATAAAGACATACCTGGAAGACCCCAAGATTTCTGTTATATTCAGACTCTGGCAATGTTAGTGAGACAATGGCCTGCAAATGATGATGATGAGGAATAACACGCGACTGGGTCTTCCCACTTACGACATTTTCTTTACAATTCCGACCATAAAGAACATCTGAATCAGGTAAGATTGGCATATAAGCCTCAGGACTGTGTTTGGTATAGTCAAAATTTAGTACTTCTTTGATCTTAACAGGCTCCTGAACTAAGAACCTCATCAAAAACCCACCAAATATAAGCGCCGAAATCAAGAGACCACACAAAATGATACAAACATAAGCCGACCACAGAAAGCCCCACACACAGCGGAGTCCAGCTTTCCAAAGAGACTTGGGTTCCTTCAACCGTTCAGATATCAAAGGACTGACCACAGCAGTAACAAGTTCACAAAACCCAAATAACTTTCCTGTCACATATGCTCTCCCAAGCTTAATTGTTTGAAAAGGATGAAAAACAAACGTGTAAGAATGATATAAAAACCACAAGGGAAAGCAGAAACTGTAGACGAAGAAGCTAAGTTGAACCCCAATTGCCTTGATGAGCAATCCTACAATTAACATAAGTAGGTTTGAAGAAGAATGGCCGGATTCCGCCTCCGAAACGCCCAATTCGCCGCCCGAATTAGTCTCCACAGTAGTCACCGTCGATACCTCACTCTTCTCATCCTTCACGCTACTCGAACCTCCCCACGAGCTTACTTGAACGGATAAAGCCTCGGATCCCTCGAGTTTCTTTACATCGTCAATAAAATTCGGGTGAATTTCTGGGGTTTTCCATTCGGGGCTCATCATCACCGAATCGTCGATTGAACTTGTTAGGGAACTGATAGAGGAATCTGAGCTCGGAGTCTCGCCTGCCATTCTACGGCGAGAAGAGGGGCGATGGCGTAATGAAGCGACAGATGAGAATTCATTCTCGGACGAGGTTTCAAGTACGGGAGAAGAATCGGAAATGGAGGAAAGTGAAGTGGAAAGTTGAGGTTGATCGGTGACGGAAGAATCCTCCGATGGGAACTCATCGAGAGTGTCGAAGAAGTCATCATCGTCTTCGTTATCTTTGGTGTCGTGGGATTCCATACCGAGATGGAGTATCGAAATGCGCAATCTAAAGCCAGAACATTGGGTTTCTTACAATCTTCAAATTCATCCTCCTCGATTTTCAGATTTAAATACACACAATTCCGATAAAGTTTCTCAACATGATCGCCTGCCTGTTTGAGATGAGATTGCAACGTCGTTAATAATTTCGATCATTTTCAACTCCACCCTTCCTCCTTAAAACTCATTAAATCAATCTCATTCTCATTTATTTATTATAATTTTTAGGCTAAATTAATAAAAATATTTTCTTAACGTTCAATCTTTATCTTAAAAAACATTAAAAACTTTCATTAATATTCTTAATTTAAAAAAATCTAAAACACTTCTAAAAGTATTTAAAAGTTTAATTTTTTATTTTTATTTTTCATCATATCATATGGACCTAAATAAAACACATTCTCCATGATTGTGGGCCATTCTTTCTTGGCCCATCACTGTAAAATGGCTAAATAGGCCCAAATGTTAAGCCCATCAGGCCCACTACTCTGTCCAAATAATAATCCACAGAGAAGGTAGAAACAATTCTAAATCGTCTTTGTTATTGTTCGTCTCAAATAAAAGGTCTGACCGAACTAAAAAAAATAAAATTATTCATACATCTTCCATTTCCTAATAGAATTTTTATCGATTCTAATAAAAACAATGAAAAGAAAAAAACATAAATCATAATATAATATTTTGAGTTCATTTAGTTTGACTTGTTGGATGGTAAAAAAGTATTGTTTGACTTGTTTTTAGAGAAAAGAGGGTTGGAATCTAATTTAGAGAAAAACCCATTAAACAAAAACTAATTTAGAATTATATTTTTTTCATCAAAGTTTGGGTGTTATTATATGTTTGGAGGGAAAAGAAATTTCTGGAAATTGATGTTCGGAGAAATATTGAAAAGCAAAGCAAATTGGAAAAAGAAAAAGGTTGCAGAGAGACAGAGAGTCAACCCAGAATCCTCCTTATTCAATTCTGCTCTAATGGGCACAACACACAAAAACGCGTTGTTTGATATTGAAATAATNGCAGTCAAATTTATGGGCCTCTGGTTGGAACAACAACAACAACAACAACCGAAACTCAATAACATCAACAATGACAAAGTCCAACCTGTCCCACCACTACCAAAATAAATTAATATCTATTCCTTTTTTTTTTTTTTATGCAAAAACAGGGGATAAATAATCTAACCCAAATCAAAATCCAAATTCTTTTCTCTTTTCAACTCCCAAGGGGGGAGTACTACTCAAATTTTCCATTGAAAGCTAAGAATTTCTTTTTGGTGTTCATCTCCTTCAGTAATGAAAGATCCTTGCACCACTTACGCCGCCGCCACCGCCACACCTGCTTCAGAAATGGACGCTTTGACCGCTACACTTTGCAATTCAATCCAAGCTTTAGGGCGTGGCTTTGATGTCACCGCCGATATTCGTCTTCTTTACTGCAAGGGAACACCTGGGTCGAGGCTGGTTCAGCTCGATGATGCCTCTACCAGGGATCTACATCTCTCTGATGGGGTTGTGGTTCCTAATGTGCCTGACCATGTTCACTGTTCTCCAGATACCAGGGCAACCGAAAACGTCCCCGTTTGCAGCTTCCACAAGGCGAGTTTGGAGCTCTTCCTTCAATCGCTCCTTGTTTTGCTTTCTTATCATCAACCCTTTTCGTCCCATGTTCTATTTCCCTTCCTGAATTGTTAATGAATCAATTTTCTCTCTCCCTCTTTCCACCTTGTTTACATCTGATACTTGATTCATTACTATTTAGGCACTATTCTTTTTGCACATTTTGATCTCTACAACTATTGTCTTCTTTTATGTTTCTATCAATCTTATATCAATCTTATAGCTGTTGTAGTTTGATTTTTGGTATCTGTTCCATTAGTTTCTGTGACATTTCCTTCCTTGAGCTTGTTGGCTGCCTTTATAGAGCTTATTAAAGCATAAACTTGGTTAGAACTACTATTGCATTACATGGGTGGAGATTATTTTTGAAATAGTTGTAAGTTTGCAACTTGATCAATGCTTGAAATGAAGTTAAAAGGTTCAAACCTAAGTTCAAGTAGCTATGTGAATAATGTTGGTGCATTTCCCAGAATTGATTTAGTCTTGATCGACACTTTTGGTTTGCATATAGCTTTTAAGTATAACTAGTTGGTTAATATCAATGAGTTCCATTAGAAACTCGATTATCAATTGAGGACTTTTTCGTTAAATGCTTCATATGTTCCATTGATACCTGAAATTCCAGATGGCAGAATACTTCAATCAGAAATCAAATCTATCAGGAAACATTCCGCTTGGAAGCTTTAATGCCATGTTCAATTTCAGTGGCTCTTGGCAAGTGGACGCAGCAGCTACAAAATCACTTGCTATGATTGGATATTTCATTCCTCTCTTTAAGGTTGAATTGAAAAACCCGACCTTAGTTTTACACGAAGAAATCAAACGTGCTGTGCCTTACACATGGGATCCTGTGTCCTTGGCTAGGTAAGCTATCTATTGTTGTCTGTGGTTCTTGTCGTGAATGTGCGCTTGCAAGGTTCATGAATAGTCGTGACTTGACAATAATATATAACCGATACTTACTTTTCTTTCGTCAGTTTTATTGAAAATTTCGGTACGCATATCATAACATCAGCAACTATTGGTGGAAGAGATGTGGTATATATCAGGCAACACCAGTCATCTCCCTTATCAGAGTCTGAGATTGAGAACTACGTGAAAGAGGTTGGGGAACAACGATTTCTCGACTCGAAAAGCCAGTCAACTGTTGGTCCCTTGAGTTATAAGGATAAGGTTAGTTTAAAACACTCATTTTACTAAAGCAAGTTCACTGTTAAGTTTATGTATCTTGAGGATCTCAACGAGTTGTCATGGTAAACCATTCGAATCATTTTTCGCCTGGTTTAGTAAGCATATGGGATGCTATGCTTCTATTGACTCGAGTCTCAAAATGTAATAATCATGATGCCCGATTTCTTGCAGGATGTTACTGTAATTTTTAGGAGAAGAGGTGGTGATGATCTGGTTCAGAGTCATGCCAAGTGGGCAGAGACTGTAAAGTCAGCCCCAGATGTGATCAACATGACGTTTACCCCCATCGTTTCCATGCTTGAAGAAGTGCCTGGTGTGAAGCATTTAGCCCGTGCTATTGACCTATATTTGGAATGTAAGTACACTTCTATCAGTCTTAACATACGGAGACGTTGTTACCTACCTAAGAATGCGTTTCGATGGTGGAAAACTGATTTAAGTTATTATAGAACTTCGTCTAAAACATATCGTTCACGCTTCTGCAGATTATAAAATTTTCATCCAACAAAGTGCATATTATAGGTTGTTGCTAAAATGAAGATGTTGATTTTGTTTCCAAAATTTTAGTTAAATTGCTGAGTCTCTGTTAGTCTTACAGACAAGCCCCCGATCGAGGATCTGCAGTATTTTTTGGATTTTCAAATTGGTAGAGCATGGGCTCCTGAACAAACCAACCTGCAAAGAAAAGAGCCCTTGTGTCAATCACTTCAGTTCAGCTTGATGGGTCCAAAGCTTTATATTAGCCCTGATCAGGTATTCTCCATCTCCTTAATTTTGCTGGCTTCAAAATGAGTTTGACCTTGTCTTTAAATCTGATGGGGTTCTTCTGATGAAGTAGATGTATCAAAAATTATATACTGTTGCATTTTTGCACTGTTCAAGTTTTAGGTGCTTCCATGCTAATAGAGACAATGGTGTAGGTAGTGTTCTTGTAATAGTTCAAACCCACCGCTAATAGATATTATCCTCTTTGGGCTTTTCCTTTTGGACTTCCCCTCAAGGTTTTAAAACGCATCTACTAGGAAGAGGTTTCCACGCCCTTATAAGAAATATTTCATTCCCATTTCCAACCAATGTGGGATCTCACCCTCCACCCTCTTGGGGGCCAGTGTCCATGTTGGCACACCACCCGGTGTCTGACTCTAATACCATTTGTAACAACTAAGTCCACTACTAGTAGATATTGTCCTCTTTGGCCTTTCCCTTTCGAGCTTCCCTTCAAGACTTTAAAACGCGTCTACTAAGGAGAAGTTTTCACAACCTTATAAGGAATGTTTCATTCCCCTCTACCACCAACGTGAATCTCACAATTTTGCATATGGTTCCTTTACTTTTTGGGTGTAGAGGGAGTTTCAAATGGACATATAGTCTTGAAGACAAGTCCACTTAATTCTATGCTTTTTGTCTTGTGGAGTATTTGTTTGGTTCCCTTTCCTGGACATTTGGGGACGCACCTCCTTTTTTGAATTAAACTTTTGTGTTTCTGACCCTAATACAATCGAGTCTTCCCCAGAAAAAGCTGATAAATCAATCACGTTCTATGATAGGAAAAGGATGATATCAAGAACATAACAACTCTTATCAATCATTGCATGTCATCGCAGATTACAGTTGGTCGTAAACCAGTAACGGGTCTTAGGCTTAACCTTGAAGGCTGCAAGCAAAACCGACTTGCTATCCATCTGCAACATCTGGTGTCACTGCCGAAGATTCTCCAACCCCATTGGGACTCGCATGTTGCCATAGGTGCACTGAAATGGCATGGCCCCGAGGAGCAGGACAGCAGGTGGTTTGAACCCATCAAGTGGAAGAACTTCTCTCATGTAAGCACAGCACCCATAGAGTATACAGAAGCCAACATTGGAGATTTATCTGGTGTTCACATCGTGACTGGAGCGCAGCTCGGTGTTTGGGATTTTGGTGCCAAAAATGTACTATACTTGAAGCTTCTTTTCTCGAAGGTACCTGGCTGCACGGTTCGACGATCAGTCTGGGATCACAGCCCCTCCACCTCTGCTACCCCATCGAGGTCTGATGGTGCATCATCATCTTCCAAAACAAAAACTGGTGAAGATAAAAAGGAAGACAGTTCAAGCAATGCTGGAAAACTGGCAAAAATTGTAGATTTGACAGAAATGTCGAAGGGTCCTCAGGATATTCCAGGTCATTGGTTGGTTGCGGGGGCTAAGCTCGGGGTTGACAAGGGAAGGATAGTACTGCGCATCAAATATTCATTGCTGAACTACTGATCAGTTCTTGGTCGGGTTTCCCTTCACAAACTATAAACAAAAGTGGAGCATTTTTTTGCACAGAATTCATGTGTTCTTTTTCCCTCTTCCTACATTGTACATCTTATTAGTTTAGTTTGTAGCCATTTTATTCTTATGTTGTTTGTCACAATCATTTAATTATAGTAATGTTCTTGTTTTATTCATCACAATTGTTGTTCTTGTTAGAGGACAAAGTGCTTCTTGCAAAACGATGATTACAAGTAGGATTAGAACACCATTTTCAATTTCTTGTCAAGTCATGGATAAGCTGTTAGAACTTGGAAGGGCAGCAGCCTCAAGCATACCATCCATGCATACCATCCATGCTGGCTTAAGGCTAGAATAATTTTCTAGGCTCAAGGGCTGAAAAGATTGCGCTCGAGCTCCTATATGAAGGGAGTAAGCCCTATGCTCATAGTTGTATCTAACAAGACATTGTATCTAACAAGTTATGTCTGATGAATCTATAAATTTTAAATTAGGTTTATAATGAATCTTTGAACTTTAAATTTTATTCTAATAAATTACTAAACCCTAATCCCACATTGGAAGAACTTTGATTGTACTCCTTCATTTTAAATGAATTTGTGAGAAAACCATCTGCCGAGCTTGGTAATGTGAGCTTGTTACCTGAACGGGGGCTTTAAAATGGTTGGAGCTTGTTCGTCCCAGTGGAATAGGGGTCCTGGAGGCCGTTGTGTTGATGGCCCGCCCGTTCCAAGTAGGGATTAGGTCATTGGGCCTTGGACGAAAGCTTGGGGGCTCACTGGCCCTAAAGATTGAGGGAACCGCGTGAGGCTGGTTTCACAGAGCAGCGTCACCTCTCGCTCTCTTCTGTGGACGAATTACGGGCCGACTCTCTTGGGGCCCAAAACCAAAACCCTGGGTGGACATAGTCAACAACCATTTTTTTTTTCTCAACTACAAACCTAAACTACATTTCAATCATAAATTGTACACAAACTCCGAAGACAAACTAGATGGCCTGCTCGAAAGCTAAAGCATATAATTAATAATTATGCACTCAAATCATTGGTTCTTCTCTGTTTTAACTGAGTGTCTCCTTTCCTAAAACCAAGGAGCTGTCAATTTCATGACATAGTTGCAGACCCTACCGTTCCGACCGGCTAAACAGCAATAATCTGAGCTTATGTCCATGGAACAACTAGAACTCTAAAGTCAGGAGATCTTAGACTTAGTCAACTAGAGCTCATGATGGGAACCTTTTGGACCATTAGGAGATTGTTTCTGCTTGTAATTTTGCATTTTTTACTTGTTTTATATGTACAAGCAACCATGCAGAATGCTCTTAATTTACAGCTTTCATGATGGATCGTAAATATCGATTTAGTTATATGCATCCTATTGTCATGAACAGGAACAATCAGACGTCACACTACCTTCTCATGCAACAAGAAACCCTTATATATACATATTAAGCAAAAGCTCAATCTTAGCTTCGCAATAGCAGAAGATCCTAGCCAGTTGCAATGGTATGCTTCATGTTCATCAATTTCATTGAGTTCTAATTAAGTTCAATAAACCATTTGGGTCTTTTGGGCTATCTCGTTATCTGTAAGTTTTAACTGCTAGTTGATTTCTATGCAGGAGAAGTTTGAGGTAGTGGAAGGGAAAGTGGACTGGAAGGGAAGACCAGCTTTCAAACACAAGCATGGAGGAACTAGATCGTCTTTGCTCATACTAGGTACAAAATCATTGGCTCATCAAGTTTGTCAAATGTAGTGTAGGACATATGAAGAAAAAGAAAATCATTTGATTGTAGTCTTGTTTACCTTTTGGGTTTCTGTTGCAGTCGCATTTGGTTTCGAGAATATGGCAACCTTTGCGCTTGCAGTGAACTTGATCACGTATTTCAATACTGTGATGCACTTCGAACTAGCGGATGCTGCCAACCAGCTGACCAACTATATGGGTGCCGGTTACATTCTCTCTATTCTTATGGCTGTTCTCGCAGACACATTCTTAGGCAGATTCAAAACCGTCATCATTTCTGGCTGCCTCGAGTTTCTGGTTAGTCCAACTTCACCGGCTTTACTTTGCGGCCCTGCCGACCCCCATGCAACTACATTTTAATTACTACTGTTATTTCAGGCGCTGATATTGCTCATGATACAAGCTCACTACCCCAAGCTCAAGCCACAGCCTTGCAATATGTTTGATAAACAAGCCCACTGCGAGACAGTTGGAGGAGGAAATGCTGCTTTCCTCTATGTTGCTCTCTACACATTAGCTATTGGTAGTGCAGGCATTAAGGCTGCATTACCGTCACATGGGGCTGATCAGTTTGATGAAAAAGACCCCAAGGAGGCACTGCAAATGTCTAGTTTTTTCAACCAACTCTTGTTGGGAGTGTGCGGCGGTGGTGCTGCTAGTTTAACTCTAATTGTGTGGATCCAAGACTACAAAGGTTGGGACTGGGGCTTGGGGATATCTTCTGCAGCCATCTTTTTCGGCGTGGTCATCTTTACTGCCGGACTGCCACTGTACCGAATGCATATTGTTTCTGAGTCCAGTGCAATCGTCCAAATTCTACAGGTATGCTGAGTTTGAAGCTTAATCATATAAAGAACTTCATCCAAGAACATTCTTACTCCTGTTCAAATGATTGTTCTTTCTAGGTATATGTTGCAGCCATTCGTAATAGAAACCTTGTCCTTCCCGAAGATTCTGCAGATCTCTATGAGATTGAAAGGGACAAGGAAGCTTCTGTGGAAGAAGATTTTCTTCCTCATAGAAACATTTACAGGTTTGGTTTACATAAAAAATTGTTCGAGCTTTCTGCTTTGGCTGTCTAATAATAGCATTAAACGCCTTGATAATTCGAAAAAACAGGTTTCTAGACAAAGCGGCAATTCAACAAACACCTTGTGGGCAAGTTGAAACACCTGAAGTTTCAAGCCCATGGAAATTATGCAGAGTCACCCAAGTTGAGAATGCAAAAGTAATTCTTAGCATGGTACCAATTTTCTGCTGCACAATCGTAATGACGCTTTGTTTGGCCCAACTCCAAACCTTCTCCATCCAACAGGGCCTCACCATGGACACAAAACTCACCAACTCTTTCCACATCCCTCCAGCGTCACTCGTCATCATCCCAGTCTCCTTCATCATCCTCATAGTCCCAATCTACGACAAGATTTTCGTCCCCTTCGCACGAAAGCTCACAGGCATCCCCACAGGAATCACCCATTTGCAAAGAGTAGGCGTCGGATTGGTTCTATCCAGTATCTCCATGGCCGTCGCAGCTTTAATGGAAGCGAAACGCAAGGGCGTTGCGAGAGACCACAACATGCTCGACGCAACCCCTGTTTTGCAACCATTGCCAATCAGCACCTTCTGGTTATCTTTTCAATTCTTCATATTCGGAATCGCAGATTTGTTTACGTATGTAGGGCTTCTGGAATTCTTCTACTCCGAGGCGCCGAAATCCCTTAAATCTGTTTCCACTTGCTTCCTTTGGAGTTCAATGGCTTTGGGCTACTTCTTGAGCACCATAGTTGTGAAGATTGTGAACAGTGCTACGAAGGGAATTACGAGCAACGGAGGCTGGCTGATCGGAAACAACATTAATCGGAACCATTTGAATCTCTTCTACTGGTTGCTTTCAATACTGAGCTTCATCAACTTCTGCATCTATATATCTGTTGCCAAGAGATACAAATATCGAAACCATAAATAAATCAACTCGCCTAACAAAAAAAAAAAAAAAAATCGTAATCTGATTCGTTTTAATTCTATCTCTTCGGTCCAAATATGTTTGAATTTTTGTTCTTCATAATATATGAAATTGTAGAGGAAAAATTATATGAAATCATTCTGTTGCAACTTATAAACTTCATTGAAATTAATTTGTTTGTGGAGATTCTTATATTAATTTATTTTTCTTCACTCCGATTATATCATCTGTTTATTACAATAAAATAAAAAATTAAAATGACAACCAAAGCCATACTCTTCGGCCACGTTTGCATGAAACTCAAATCTCCCATTGCACTCCACTTGGGGGTAGAATATCACTACTCTCAGCCACGTCGGCGCCACGTGCAAGCAAACGTGGCTGATTTTCATTCCACTCTCTCTCCTCCATAGATGATTACAGAGTCCCTCGCCTTACTATTTCATCCCTTCTTCCCCGGTCGGAAAAAAATAGCCTACAGAGCTCCGGAGAGCATCAGAAGAACGATAAAATGGCCACGAGCGAGGACCAACCGGCGGCGTTGAGAGAGAGTGGCGAAGAGCGACAGCCACCGGGCCAGAAAATGGGAGTGGGGCAACACATATTGGACAAAGGCAGTAGCATGTTGCAGTCGCTGAAACCGGTGAAGCAGGTCAGCCAGCACGCTTGCTCTTTTGCCCTTTACGGCGATGACCTCAGCCGCCAGATCGAAACGCATCATTACATCTCTCGCCTTAACCAGGACTTTCTCCAGTGCGCCGTTTACGATTCCGACGCCGCCGATGCCCATCTAATTGGTTAGCTTTCTACCAAACTAATTTCATATCCTCTGTTTTCATCCCCTGCCGTATTGCTTTATCCTCTTCCTTTCAGGCGTTGAGTATATCGTGTCGGATCAAATCTTTGAAACTCTGTCTACTGATGAACAAAAGCTTTGGCATTCCCACGCATACGAGATAAAATCTGGGCTCATGGTTCATCCACGAATCCCAGAGATGGTAGCAAAGCCAGAATTGGAAAACCTCGCCAAATCCTACGGAAAATTCTGGTGCACATGGCAGGTGGACAGAGGTAATAAACTGAAAATTTTTCATTATGGTGATTCAAAATTGGTTTTTGATATCATACACACAGGCGACAAGCTGCCGATGGGAGCCCCAGCGCTGATGATGTCACCGCAAGCAACAGGGGCGGGAGTGGTGAAGGCGGAGCTGGTGCAGAAAAGGGACGACTATTATAACATTTCGACAGACGCAATTAAGGGGTCTCGAGTTGAGATCGAAGAGCCGGAGTGGATTAATCCGCAGGCTGATTACTGGAAACAGCACGATGGGAAGGGGTTTGCCATCGATATAGTCCGGACGGACATGAAGTTGAGGGTGCCGTTCCCTTGACAGAGACAGGCGCGTAACGGTCTGGTTTATTGGGTTTGTGTGTGGTGAGCGCGAGGCATAAGGGCATGTAAGGAACTATCAATAGATTATGAATAAATGAATAAAATTGGTCTCTGTTATCTTAGAACAACACATTTTTAGTATAAACTTTTCAACAAATTAGGAGTGTAGCTTCCCCAAATCTCTCAGAACAGTTCAGTCAACGCCGACCCTCTGCCACCAATTCCTCACATCACCATATTAACACGTAAACCAAATCGCACACTTTAATCTCTCCGTTTTCTTCACTTCTTTGCTCCAATGGCGAACCCCAATTCCGCCCCGATCGAACCCTGTGAAGGGGAGTTGTATTCGGTGTGGGCTCTTCCTCCAGAAGATGTAGCCACCAAAATCATTTCTCTGATGAGCAGCCTGAGATCCGAGTTTGGCGGCCCCGAATTTGAGCCGCATATCACCGTGGTTGGGGCAATTCGTCTCACCCCTCAGGATGCCCTCAATAAATTCCGATCGGCTTGCGAAGGGGTGAAGGCTTATCAAGCCACCGTGGATCAAGTTTCCATCGGAACCACCTTCTACCAGTGTGTTTTTCTCCTCATTCATCCCACCACCGAGGTGCTTCCCCCTCATCTTTCCGTCTGCATCTCATGGTTTGGGCTTTTTTATGTTTAATTTTCCTCCTATTCTCTCTGTTTTCTTCTCAGGTGGTGCAGATCAGCTCACATTGCTGCGGCCATTTTGGTTGCAACAACTCCACCCGTAAGTTCATTCACATTCAAAATCATGAATTGATTCTGCTTCTCCCTTTCCTTGGGATTGTTATGAGCATACTGAAAGCTCTTAATGATGATACTAATGGCATTATCCCCCAAATGATCTAATCTAAACACTCCAAGTATATGTGTGTGTATCAGCTTACATGCCGCATTTGAGCCTACTATATGCGAACATATCAGACGAAATGAAGAAGCGGGCGAAGGAAATAGCGGACAAACTGAATGAAGCCGTGAACGGCCTGAAAGTGCCACTCACTCGACTTGCATTGTACAAAACAGACACCGGCGATGAAACTCTGAAGTCGTGGGAGAAAATTGCAGAGCACGATCTTCCTTCAAGTTAGCTTCTGTTGTTTTTTATGTTTGCCCTCTTCAAGATTAATTATGTTCTTTTCGACAATGTCTCTACTTCTCTAGTCTTGTTTAACTTCTGAAAAATAAACGTCAACCAAAGGCCTTGTTGTTTCAAAGCTTGCCAAGCTTCATATTTAGGCTACTTTTTTTTCAGTGATTGTAATATGAAGAAGAATCAAAGTTGCCGACGTTATTGCTTTGTTGCTCGAACGTGGTGCTGAAGTTGACGTCTCCAACTCGAAATTTAGCTGAATATGTAAAAGAAACTTAAAGAAAAAGTATTTTCACTCCACCCCATTTACAGTTCTAATCCCAAGTTCAGCCCATTGTTCGGTCTTGTGGATTGAAGTTCACATGTGGATTGAAGTTCACACACTCTTGACGTAACATTGATATCATTACATAATTTAATCGAAATCATGGTTACAAATGGTATCAGAGCCAGACTTGTGCCGAGAGGACGATTGTGAGATTCTACGTTCGCTAGAGAGGAACAAAATTTTATAAAAGTAGACATCAGTCGGTGTACCAAGAAGATGATTATGAGATTTCACGTTGACTCATGATGATGATAAGTAATGGGTCAAAACCGGTCGAAATTTTAGAAAGTTGTAGCATTATTGTTTCTTTTTTTTAAAGAGAATAATAATTGGTTCCCATGTTTTCCAGAAACATTATATGAATGCTCAGCCACAAATTGGGCACATGAAGATGTTTTGGTTACATGAATCCATATTTCGTTTTGAATACCTTTTTCTTTGAACCGACAGTCAAAGCCTCAACTCAATTAATAATACTTACAGTGCTTAAAAGCTTCTTAACTTATTATTCCAAGCATCTCTCATGAACTCAAGAATATATGTCATCATCTTTTTATTCTCTCTAATTCGTGTCAAGATTTTTAACCTCAACCCCAATTCTGCAACTTCACTTTACTCTTACCCTTAAAAAAGATTAATTTTTTTTTAAGGAACAAAATCCCCTCATTAGCACAATGAATGATAATGAAGTTTAGAGCTAAAAAGGCTGAATTGGATTGAGTTATTAGTTGAATGCTTTGTAAATAACCCAATCCATAGCCTGCTGATATAAAGGGTCACTTTCTGTACTTCATTAATACACACACCTCCCTCTTTGGCTACCTTACTTCTATTTCCCTCTTCTCTTCCCCTAACCTTTTAGAACACAAGCTGTGTGCATTGATATTCCTTAAACACAGCAAACAGCCCTTCTTTTTGTTCTGTCTTGGGAGTTCCTTCTTCAACCAGCTCAGGTTAGTGATCAAAATAAAACAAAGCTTTGATTCAGCTTCTGATTGTGTTGCTTATTCACATGTAAATCCACAAAAAAGGAGATTAGAAGTGGAAGAGCAAATTTTTAGCCTCAAAATCTGCATCTCACAATATATCTTCTCTATTCTTCTACCTCTTTTGGGATCATCAGAAGAGGGGAAGATGAAAAATGAAGATTTGGGGTTTGATAGATGACTGATCTGCTTGGATTTGGTTTAGGTAAGAAAACAACAAGAGGGGAGAGGATGTCTGATTCACCTCAGAGGAAGATGGGAAGAGGAAAGATTGAGATTAAGAGGATCGAAAATACAACAAACCGTCAAGTCACTTTCTGTAAGAGACGAAATGGACTGCTCAAAAAGGCTTATGAGCTTTCTGTTCTGTGTGATGCTGAAGTTGCTCTCATCGTTTTCTCAACCCGTGGCCGCCTCTATGAGTATGCTAACAACAGGTAAACAACAACACTCCTAACCTCGTACATTATTTTCTTCAAATGTTCCTTTCTGCGCTTGATTTGTGTTTTTTCTCCTTAAACTTGTTGCTGATATGGGTCCTGGAAGGTTTTAACTCAGCTTTTAGGAAGAGCAAGATTTTGGGAATCTGGGTTGCGTTATGAATATAGTCTTTTTTTGAAAGATTTGAGTTTTATGATATCAAAACTTACCAAATTTCTTTGATTTTCTGAGTTTTTTTTTTTTTTTTTTTTTTTTTTTGCTATAATTGCTGAGTTACATGGTTTTTGGCGTGGTGGATACATAGATCTGGTATAACAGATGTGAGATAGGGCATATTATGGAAGGTTGAAATGAGTAAGGGTTTTGGTAAGCTTATGGTTATGTCTGAGCTCAGCTCTTTACCTTCCTCCATTAGTCCAATCCCACTTCATCTCCTTGACATTTCCTCAATACTAACGTCAGTTGAACATTAAGAAACAGAAAGTAAGACCATATTAGGGTTTCAAACTTGTGGGTTTCCTTGAAACATGCTAAAACACCCTTTTCCAACCAATCACCTCCAACTCAAGATTCAACTACCTAATTGGTTTCCATTCAAACTTTGAAATAAAAACCTCATTAGATCTTCAAATATGAACTAATCAATCAATCTCTGTCCGGATTATTAGGGGTAACCCTCTGATTAAACTTGTTTAAACAAACCGAGCTAATAGCAAGTCAGAAACTTTACACAAGTTTAATCCTTGTCCCCATTGTTTGGGAAATGGGGTGTCTGGTTTCAGATTTTTGGTCTAGGGCTTCAAGAATCAGCCAAAACAGAGAATGGCAATCCGATTCAAAAAGAAACTAAACTGGGGTTTCTTGATTTTAACAAAAAATTTGAATCTTTGTAAAAAAAGAACGTATTTTTAGAGAGAGAGAGAGAGATTAGGGTATTGAATCACGTAGAACCAAGGTGAGACCTTTAGCATTAATCTTAATAGGACAGCTGCTGTAGCCACTGATGGAAATGGACGGCTGCGATGTACACAGTGTTTGAGACAAAAGGCTTTTACCGCCACTTAGGTTTTCTAAGAGTTTTTTCTTTTAGTTCTTGTGTTGTATCGAGGTGGATAAGAGGGTGGAGTTAACCACTATACAAATGCGTGTATGACACTTGGCAAATTCTCATCCCTTTGATTGGATTAAGCCAATCATAATTCGAGATCTCTGTTGGATGTCTCAGACATAGCCAATCACCAGCTCGACGAAATTAAGGTATCAGTGCATCGGTAAAGGAAATCATGGATAAATTTTGGATAAAAAAGATTACTTAAATGTGGGAACTTTTTTCTTACACTTCAAATTCCGTCACATCCATTGAAAAGCAGCTGACCCTTTGATGTGATTTCTATCATTCATTTTGCCTTTTATGGGATTTCGTAAAGGACTCAGTCAACTTGAGAGAGTTGGGTTAATGTGACAGTAAAAAACTTAAAACACGTAGCTTCTTGAGAATAAAAAACATGTTTTAATGCTTTGTTTTTTTGCAAGTGGAAGAACATCATAATTGTAGTGATTAAGGAGGTTAATCAACATGATATGATGTTAATTGCAGTGTGAAGACAACAATTGATAGATACAAAAAGGCATCTTCAAATTCTCCAAACACCGGATCTACTTCTGAAACTAACACTCAGGTATACTTCAATTTCAATTTCATTACGTGTGAAGAAATGGGTCTATAAGAAAACTTAATGCATCAAACAATTGAGTTCAAATATAAATGGTCGTGAAAAGGGATTCATTCACTAGAACTAACTTGTTCTAAAGATTTTCGAGAAGTTTAAGGTTTTGTTCTTCAATATGGAATATTAATTAGTCTATTGAGCTTTTACCGACATCGACACGAACCAATAATAGGTGCACTAGCTACATATTTGATAATGAATTCTGAATGGCTGCTCTTCCTTACTTTATCTTATTAAATAAAATCAAATTTTCATACCCAACCCTAACATGTTGTGCTCAATATTTGAATAGTATTCATCCATTAGCGTAATGATTTGATATAAGTGGATCATGTTGTGAACCCTCAAAATGGGTGTAACCTTTTATGTTGGCTATCAATCCAAGCTTAAGGATACAAAACTTACTATTGAATGACATGCTAGTTTTACCAACAAGAAGCTGCCAAACTGCGTGTTCAGATTGGTAATTTGCAGAACTCAAACAGGTATGTTAACACAAAATTTATGCAGTCGTGTTTTCATTACTTGTTCATCTTCTGAAGGGATGTTGTTTTCAGGAACATGCTTGGTGAATCTCTAAGTTCTTTGAGTGTAAAAGATCTGAAAAGTCTTGAGAGCAAACTCGAGAAAGGAATTAGCAGAATTAGGTCCAAAAAGGTATGTTTTCTTCCTTATTTTTTGAAGTTTCTTCTCTTAAAATAAAAACACTTCCTTTTGCTCTCTCTCTTCCAGAATGAACTCCTCTTTGCTGAAATCGAGTACATGCGCAAAAGGGTAAGCTTAATATCTTTTAGTTTTTCTCTTTTTTTTTAAATGTAATGTTTTGCTGTAGACTTTGTACATATACTAGTGGTGAACTTTGGCGGTTACGAATAGTATTAGAGTCAGATATTGGTAGATGTGCCAACGAGAGCACCGGGCTCCCAAGGGGTGGATGCGAGATCCCACATTGATTTGAGAGAGGAACGAAACATTTCTTATAAAAATGTGGAAACCTCTCCCTTGTAGATGATTTTTAAAATCATAAGTTATACGTAATGGGCCAAAATAGATAATATATGTTTACGATGAATTTGGATGGTTAACGAAACAACTTTCTAAATGGGTCGTTTAAAAGTTCAATTTCCCAATCAGGGTTTCATTGATTTTCCTCCAAATCGTAGAAAAAGCCAATCCTTTGGTGAAGTTTTGGTTGCAAGAACTGTATAATGAATGATGTGAGTATATATTTGTAGAATGAAGTGATTATATATTCTTGAATTGAATGAAAAAAGTTGATCATTACAGGAGTTTGATTTGCACAACAACAATCAGCTGCTTCGAGCAAAGGTCCCCTTTTCTCTTTTTCACTCACTCTCTCTCTCTCTCTCTTAATGAGCAGTTGACATTGAAAATTGTAGAAATTGATGCAGATAGTTGAGAGTGAAAGAAATGTGAACATGATGGGGGGAGGAGAATTTGAGCTGATGCAATCTCATCCGTACGATCCAAGAGACTTCTTCCAAGTCAACGGCTTACAGCACAATCAACAGTATCCACGTCAAGACAACATGTCTCTCCAGTTAGTATAAGGTTCTGCTTTTACAGTTAAATAAGAAGCCATTCTGCCTCTCTGTCTCTCCCATTATCTAACAAAATCCCAACCAAACATTTCGATGCAGTTAATAATAATATGATTTGAAGCACTCTCATTGTTGGATTAGCATAAAAGAGTGCCCCATCTGCTGGTTGAAAGGTACTCCAAGGAAGTTGAAGATTAACCAAGTCTTAGCTTCTGGACTCAAAAAAGACTTGTTCTAATATATTAGTATCATCTATAATGTTGTTGTATGCTATGAATCCAAACATTAATAACCTTTCTTTGTCTTAAATCTATGTCTGTGATACAAACGACTAACATCTTTTCTCGTACTTACTGCTGTTTTGTTACTGTTTCACGGTCTCAACTTTCTCTGCTTCTAATTATGATACAATGAAGTTAGCTTTGAAAGCAAAGAACAGGATGCTGGAAGTGTTGTTCAGCTAATATATAATACATTTCATTCTCATTGATAAAAGGAAAGGAGATATAAGCAATTAAAGGAAAGGGCAGACTCTTCCAACTTAGATTGCATAAATTATATAAGTTTGGATTTAAGCTAGAGTTGAACGAGGCGACGAATGTCAATAGGGTAAGCGTCGGAGGGTCTTTGAGCGCTGTAAGCTCTTCTTCCAATAATGGTATTCCCAGCCTCAGTTGGATGAAAGGCATCCCAAAATAGATACTCTCTTCTGTTAGGACATGGGGTTTGGAAAGGCAAACATGTTATTTGCCCATTGTTCCTCCCAATCCCACAGCACCCAGCATTTGTGACCCTAAAACCTGCATCACCCCAGTAAAAATTTGTGAGATCCCGTTGGGTAGAACGAAGCATTTTTTATAAGGGTGTGAAAATCTCTCACTAGTAACGCATTTTAAAAACTTTGAAGGGAAGCTCAAAAGGAAAAGTCACAAGAAGACAATATATGCTTGTGGTCGGTTTTGGCTGTTACAAATGGTATCAGAGTTAGACATCGGACGATGTGCCAGCAAGGGCGCTGAGCCTCGAAGAGGGTGGACACAAGGCAGTGTGCCAGCAAGGACACTAGGCCCTGAATGGGGTGAATCAGTAGGTGCCACATCGATTGGAGAAGGGAACCAGTGTCAGAGGGGATGCTGGGCCCCGAAAGGGGTGGATTGTGAGATCCCACAATAGTTGGGGAGAAAAAACGAAATATTTTTTATAAGGGTGTGGAAACCTCTCCCTAGTAAATACGTTTTAAAAACTTTGAAAGAAAGCCCGAAAGAAAAAGCTTAAAGAAGACAATATCTATTAGCGGTGTAATATATATATGCATCAAAACAAGGAGACCATAATGAAAAAGAGACTGATTGTTATACCAAAAGATGAAGGGCTGTTTATGATATCTTGGAAAATCCCATAGGAGTCAACGTAGATGAATCTTGCATCAGGCTGGTCTCTATTGAGTTGATTCACCAGCCCCTTCAGCCTGTTGTTAAACATCTGGTTCGCAGAGTTGTAGCCTTGGTTACAAGTTCTCCCATCTGGGCTATTCGCCAGTGCATTTGGGCTGCACCCAATTTGCCCCACTCCAAACAGCACAAACTTCCTTGCTCCATTGTCATACATGATCTAAACACAACTCTTTGCTTTAGAATACAAGAATTCGATCAAAGTCTCGCGTTGATTAAATAAAGCGATCTATAAAACTGCTGACCGATAATTGTTGAGTGTACTGCTGAATGAGAATTTGAGCGTATTGATCGGGCGAGAATCGACGACTAGTCGAATAGACTTGGGGCATGAAATAGTTGTTAAGGTAATCATTGCTACCCAATCCAACAGAATATATACACCTGCCCAAGTAATCAGCAGCTGTGTTTTCATCTCCAAGGATGTTTACTATCTGTTGGACGATGTTTTGGTGATTTCTTACTTGACCACTGAAGGGAATCCGGTCTCCCTGTCACATACATACCCATAATCAAAGTCTTAGTAATAATCAAAGAGGATCACTGTCATAACTGAAAAAAAGTTACCAGTTGCTGGCCAGTTTCGTCCCTGATGCCAGCTGCTGCAGACGCATAGTTCACGCCGCTAAGTATGTCTCGGCCTCTCGTGTTGGAATAGGCAGGGATGTAGCCATTAAACCCCAACAACTCCGCTATAAATTATGAGTGAAAATGTTAAAATATCATTACTAGCTCAATAAGTTCAAATCCAATAATTATACGAGTCAAATGATTTAAATATTTTAAAAAAATAAATTGTCTAGACCCGGTAATAAATACTCTTCTACCCAAACAGTGTTCTCATTACAAATAATACAAAGCACAGAGTACAGAATCGCATACGTTTAAGTGAAATGTACGTACCAATGACATCAACGGTGGTCTTGCCGTTGGAGAATCTTCCGGTAGGGCCGCGGGGGAAGTCGATGCCGTATGGGAGGTAATCAGCGCGAGCCAAAGAAGAAAGTTGATTATTATTCCCATTGTCAACTAAAGAGTCACCAAAAATGAAGTAGCAAGGAACTTGCTGAGCGCTACAACAGCACAAGGCACTCATAAAAAGCACCACAGCCACACCCCAGAGCTGGTTGTTTGCAACCTCACCGGCCATGGCCACTACAGAAACAGCACTCGAGTTTGTAACTTGAAGCAGCGAGCTGAAGTAGAAGTGATGAGAATTCAAAAGGGGAAAAGAGTGTTTAAATAAAAGGGCTAAAAGAGTAGGGTTCTTTACAGTTGAGGAAACGAAGACAAGGTGTTTGGCATTAACTTCAGCGCGTATGCATGAGAGCAAAAAGTATGAACTATGAAGGTGGGGGTGTCGGATGTGTCTGAAATTGAGAAGTCAAAGTTTTATGTGATCTGTTTCCAATTAGGAAAGGAGATGCAGGTCCACCACTAGTGTAGTTTTTTTATAATTTAGTGTTGGTTCGTGTTTTAAAGACAAATACATGACTTAAATTAAATTACATGAACAAATAGTGAAACAAATATTATTTCTTAATTAAATATTGGATAAACGTCAATGTCAAAAATAAAGGGCAAGTTTTAAATGTAAATAATGGCAAAGTTGGTGACAAAATTTAATGCTTGGGCCTTGGGGGGTTGGAACTCCATGCCCAGTAACATGGGCAATCAATTGCCAACGACAATCCACACCTTTCTCATTTGACCGACATGTCGTCACCAACAAATTTTAATTTTTTTTTTTTTTTTTTAATTTCATTGTTTTATAGTTTGTTCCATTCTAGTTTAATCTATCAATTTGACCGAAAAGACCCTTTTGGTAATTTCCTAATTGGTATTAATAAAGCTCATTTTTACGCAAATTTGCAATTAAGACGTGTGGAAAATAAATTATTGATTTTTTTAATCAATTAATGGTTGTTGCAATTATAATTAAAGGAGTCAGGTTAAGTAACACTATGGATGTTGTGGGCCCAGCCTCTTCCACCCCATATTTATCTTCTATTTCAATTTTCATTTATTTTCATAGAAATTAAAACAAAAAACTCCAAATTAATAATATTTCAAATGCAACGTTGAAACTAAAATGAATATAAATTTGGACTCCAAACTGGGCCGCTGATGCGGGCTTCCTGATTAAAAGGCCCATTTTAAAAAATCCAAAAATAAAATCAAACATTTAATTTAGACTTACCATACAATTTCAAAATATATTTTAAAAAATTACCTCGAATAAATAAAGAAAAATAGTTAGGCTACGTTTCGATGAACCAATCCAATCTATAAATTTTTTTTTTTTTTAGCCCAATCGAAACTTTATGAATTGGATTGGGCTGACCAAATATTTTAACGCCCTATTAATCAAATTACAACTCATTTATTTATGTATAAGAATAATGAATCGAACCAACCTAAATATAATTTGAATTAGTAATGGTACTAATTTGACTGGAATGTATTCTATTATTATGATTGTTGATGTGCACTACTAAAGTGGAGGATGAGGTGACGGTTGATGATCGTCGTAGCTCCATTATACCCAAATATAGTTGACTTGATCTAAGAAAGATTAAAGTTATTTAGATCCATATGTAACGTAACGTCGGAATAGGTAGCTAGGCAGGTTTTATGCCAAATGGGTATGGTGTGTCACTGACAAGTGAAACCTATAGATTTGTTTTATTTGTTTGTTAATATATGGTTTGGATGTAAATGTATAGACAAATTGTGTCCATTCCATTGTTAGCAATATTGGCTGGTAACGCGTGGGAAATGGGTGGTCCTTTCTTACCCTAAAAAATTGGACTTTAATGTACAAAAGAAACACAAATTTCCCAACAGCCCATATCTCTTCTCAAAATCAACCCTTCTCTATACACATCCTAACTCCTACTATACACATTTTTTCTAACCAAAATTAACATTTAAATATATATACCCAAAAATATTCCTTGTTCGTCTGGGCGGCTATAGGTCTTTTCGGTCCTCAGTCTAGTCCTAAAACACGAGAAAGAACCTTTTTTCAATGTCCTAATAGCATTCAGTTGAAAAACGGAAAGAAAAGAAAGTTGACAATGGTACCCTTATAGGAAAATGACTTGAAAATGGCACGGGAGTCAAACCATTTTTTAGTGTTTTTTTTTTACTGAACATGTGTGTGAAATAACACGAGCAAAACTCAATGACATAAAATATGTATTGTTAGATGAACATGACTCTCCATGATAGTATGATTTTGTCCACTTTGAGTATAAACTCTAGTGGTTTTGTTTTGGGCTTCCCCAAAAGTCTTCACATCAATGGAGAGAGTATTTTTTTTATCATAAACCCATGATCATTCTTTAAATTAGCTGATGTGGGACTTTCATCATCCAACATGTATCATTCATCAAAATGTTATAAGTTTAAATCTTCTACACATATGATGTGAACTTCCACGTCAGTTGGAGAGAGAAATAAATCACTCCTTATAAGGGTGTGGAAAACTCTCCTAGTATACGCGTTTTAAAACTGTGAGGTTAATAATGATTGGCCAAAACATTAAAATGACATTTATGGTGTAAAATAAACCCAAGAAGTTAAGACTAAACGTTAATTAAATTAACTCCATATTTTATATTCTAACCTAAATGGCATTTATGGTTTAAACTGAATTAAATATACAATTTAATGAAAATATTTCTGTCAGAATATTGAAAAAAAATGTCAAAATTATTATAAATACAAAATATTTCCTGAAATAAAGGCGAAATTAGGTTCATATTTAATCCACCATTTAAAGAAAAAAATATATATATATATATAAAAGAATAAAAATTTAAATAGAAATTGCAAAGTTGACAAACTTTAAGCTAAGTGATGAAAAGATGAGGTGAAAACTAAATAGATGCGAAATTTGAAAAAGATGGTTTACCAAAATTTTTTTTTTTTTTTTTTTTTTGCCTATAAATTCTCTCTCTGAATTTCGCCATTGACAACAAAATGGAGACATCAACTTTGTTCTGCCTTCTCCTGCTGCTCCTCCTCCCACCCTCTTCTTGCCTGGCTCAAAAACAGGTCGGATTTGTTCTCCAAACCACCAATAATTGTAGTTTGTTCTATTAAATAACAATATTATGTGATTATGTTAGGCTTACATTGTGTACTTTGGAGAGCATTCCGGAGATAAGTCATGGGAGGAGATAGAAGAGAGGCACCATTCGTATTTGATGTCTGTAAAGGACACTGAAAACGATGCAAAATCGTCTCTTCTGTACAGCTACAAGCACACCATCAATGGGTTTGCTGCCGTGCTTACCCAACAACAAGCCTCCAAACTTTCAGGTGAATTCATTGATTACAAGAAGTGTTGAGCCTGGGCATGTTTTGTTTGTTTAAATGATGGGTTTTGTTTTTGGGCAGAATTGGAGGAAGTGGTGTCTGTAATTGAGAGTAAAACGTATGGCATGCACACGACAAGGTCATGGGAGTTCTCTGGGGTTGTTGAAGATAAGCCCAGGCTTAGTGATTTGGTTTCTAAAGCCAAGTCTGGAAAAGATGTGGTGATTGGAATGCTCGACAGTGGTAACTATGTTTCACTGTTTCCCTTGTGATTCCACTTTTTCTGGAATGTTTCTAAGCGAAATGCACGGGATTTTTCTCTCTCTCTCTCTCTCTCTCTCTCTCGTATTATTATCATGTTTTGTTCTTCTGTGATTTTGATTGCATGTGATAATTCTGACGTTGGATTTTGAATTTTGTTATTATACGATAAGGGGTGTGGCCAAAATCAAAGAGCTTTAGTGATAATGGAATGGGACCGGTTCCAAAATCATGGAAGGGAATCTGCCAAACGGGACCTGGCTTTGAATCACCTCACTGTAATAGGTGCACTCTCTTCTTCTTCATTGCTTTCTTTTCCGTCTCAAAATCCAAAATTTGACTCAGGTTTGTGTATGTGTATAGTTCAAGTTCACAGCTAGTTCATATTGTCCTTTTTAGAATTTCCATTTGAGCGTTTTCAATTCTCCTCCTCCAACCAATGTGGGATTCTCATGATTTGTTTGTTGATTTCGCCTAAAACATGAATCCTTTTAGGTTCAGGTCTTTTTATTCACCATCTAACTCATTTTTTAATATTTTTCTTGCTCGGAGTATTAACTATATTATTTAATGGTACATACGTTCTTTCTATAACATTTACTTTAAAGATTTATTAGAAAACTTTGAGAAACTGGACAAATAAAACATGCAATTGGAATCTCGTGCAAATTTTGTGTAACAATCTAGGTTTACTACTAGATATTATCCTCTTAGGATTTTCTTTCAAGGTTTAAAAATATGTCTATAAAAGAGGTTTCCACATCTTCATAAGAAATACTTCGTTCTCCTTTAACCGATGGGAGATCTCACAATCTAAGCGACGTTAAAACCACTATTGGGGTATGGTGGCGTTGGTTGGATTGTGTGTACAGTTGAGTGTGGGCTAAGCTTTTGTCAGCCTTCATATCAAACAAAATTTAGTGGGGGTTTTTTTGCCCCACAGCTTTCATGACCATGCATCTTGTGGAGATATACATCTCTTTCTGCGGAAGGTCACAGGTCACAATGTCTGTGCCTTTTTTACATTATTATTCCTTACATCTCTCCTCCTTTGGGTTTGGTCTGATTTGTCATTGAGAACCCATCACTGTTCATCCACTTTCATTTCCTACTATGTTGGAATTGACAACCACTCCCTTTTTTCTTTCCAACACTTTCAGATTCTTTCATTGGTATCCTAAATCCATGAAGTGAAAACAAGAAAAAAATGGCTCAAAAGTAATAATGAAAACCCAGATGTTTCATCAAACCCATCCTTAATTCTTCCTTCTCATCATTCCTACCTTATACTTTTCCTTTTGTTCCTTTTACTTTTTAGATTCCTCCAAATATTTTCTCGATAAGGTGTTTACAGGTAAGATTCGATTCAACAAGACTCTCGTTTGAGAACGTATGTTGTTAAATTTTTATCTCGTTTGAGAACGTCCCAATCACACTCAAAACGAATTTTTTTTTTATCAGTAGTAGCCATAAGGAAGATGACCCAAAAATGGCTTGACAGCAGAAACATTTTCAGGGTTTATGATAATTATTCAAAAAAAATTGTATTTATTTATAATATTTTTAATGAATTTGAGTTATGCCTCCAA